AACCTTCTGAAAAAAAGACGTTTCTTTCGTATGGTCCAACAATTGCCAACAGGCATTCGAAAAGCTAAAGCAAGCCCTTACAACAGCCCCCATCCCTTGATATCCCTACCAAAACAAACCCTTCATCCTCACAACTGATGCATCTCAAACTGCAATTGGGTACATTTTAGGCCAACTTCATTCTCATGGCATAATGATGTTAATTCATGTCTTTTGACCATACAAGTATCTGTTCTGTTTTTAGGAATAAACAATGTTGATTGGTAACATTTCTTTTGTTCGTCCGTTTCCAAGTAAGGGTATATGATGCTTAATGGTCCTTTCCCTCACTTTCAACAACTGTTAAGGCCACTTGAAATGTTTGTTAATACATAATGGTTACAGGCATACTGTCTCTCATGGTCATGTCTCTCTGTCAAAGAAATATCCTGTATTGATGAGGATGGCCATATTGTGGTCGAGACTTTTTAGTGAGGCTGGGTTATTTTTTTCAAGCAGATGGAGGCTGAGTTTGTTTTATTTACACAAAATTATGAACTGTGTTTTTTATATCCCTGCCAATGTTTCATTTGGGAGATCTTGTGAATTATGACATCTCTCTCTCCTTGGTATATGTTATAACTTCGTTATTTTTCTCATCCCAGGCTGTTATTAGTTGTCTCATATCACTCTCATACCTCTCTTGAAAATCTTGTAGTTTACCATTTTCACACTTCATCCGTTCTTTCGGGTCATCAGGAAACATGATTTGTTTGCCCACAATGTCACACATAACATCATTATATGACCGATCATCACACATACTATCGTTGCCAATAAGGTGTTCTCCACATATGCTTTTAGAGCGTACATGATGTTTCACACCACTCCGGGCTTCATGTGGAACAATTTGTCCAGGATACATCTTTTGGTATTTTTGTACAATAGATAGATGTCAGTGGCATACTTCTTGGAAACGTATTGTCCACCAGGGTGCACACGCCTGGCAAGTATACCTTCTGGAAAATCACTAATTTCTTCCTTTGCAATATCGTGGATTGAGAATTGACATCATTTTTGTAAACATCAATAAGCTTGTTCAGCAAGAATTTAACAAAGCTCATTGAGTATGACATAATCCGTGGAGGGTGGGGGTAGGGGGTGGGGGTAGGGGGTGGGGGGTGGGGTGAGTACAATATGTAGGCGATAATTCACTCATAGTGACAACTCTGGGTAACACAGCAGGGTGAAGAACAAAATTAATTGGTGCGCCAGTAAAGGTCAGTGGTATTCAAGCTTAAACTTTCAGCGCTCATTCCTTGGGCTGTATTAATCAATTATCGAATAAAGTTCACATCAAGATGTAACTGTTGTCGAATGTCACAAATATTATGATGTCATTTTCACTCCACACTGTGTTCATCTCCACAAAGAATGCTAGTAAATTCGAGGCACATCGGATCTATTGTTCTGTTTAACTTAAATTGAGAAAATATCCAAAAAAGTAAAAAACTATTTCCATTTGCGTATTTATCATTCATGCGCTATCACCGAAGCCCTACAGAGAGCTAGCGAGGCTGTCACTTTGATGTGTAGAGCTATATTGTGATCCACCTCACTTTCGTAGTTGTAGTAGTATGTCTAATCAATTATGCAAAACAATGTGTAAAGCGCACCATTACGTCCGTCTGGTCTTCAGAATACGTGCGTTTGTTTGCAATCAAGGGAATAGTCCGTAAGCTCGTGGCTATTCTTTACAGACAGTGCCTCAGGACGGGCGACGTACTGTCCATTTACCGGGTCGGTGGGATAATCCCTAGATAAGAGGCGTGCGGGGAATAATGCCAAGTCTACTCCCTTTTCTAATTAATACTTAATCGGTCAAGCAACAATCATGAGTGACGGGGGACTTGTTATTTTTGGCGTCTAAAAGAATTTGGTCAGATAGCATGACCATCGGTACCACCGGAACACACAATGAATGAGCATTGTTTATATGGTACATTTTGCGTTTTCTCTAAAATCGACCGAATATATGATTATGAATTCCGCGGTAAATTCTCTGTTCTGTGATATCATGCAAATCATTACATTTCAGGCTAAACAAAATCACTGAAAATGACCTCTGAAAACTGAAAATTAGGTACATCGTAAATCTCGCCATTTTGACATATCACTCAATCACCATTCACGGTGTTATTTAGTGTATGTCTTGAATCTAAATATCGGATATGTATACTCGGATAATTGTATTTCAAAAATAGCATAATCCTGATCACGGCCGGTATTTGTTCTTCTTTTTTTTATATCAAATTATCAAAGATCATTCAGAAACATGGCCGATCACCCTAGAATCGTTTAGAATGTATTTTGAAAACACGCATACATGAACGTCAAGGTAAACGTTCCGCCATAATGGATATTAATCAAAATACGAATGTCGTCTTTCTCCGACGTCGTCCAAAACATGAAACAAGCCATGACGTCAAACATAGATTAATGCATTACATTAAATTTGGATAATAAGGCTAGTACTCAGGCCAGAAATAATGGTATACCATTTATTTAGTCAAAATATCGTCCTGTCGTAACTGCTTTCGGGCGTCCAGTGCGACCCTGCTACAGTTACTAAATGTATTGCCGTTCCTGGTCCTTGTGGTCAATTAAGCCAGGACATTGCCCTCGCCTTGTCCACCACGGCTCGGCTCCGTCAAGGAGTGATTGGCCTAATGACCCTTACTCCATGTTGTCTCTATCAGCATTCACACCCGCATAATAAAGAAACGCAACACAAGTTGATACTCACATAGTTTTACTTACTCTCAGCCCATCTATCAATACAGGACAGGATCAGACTGGCCAGGCTCGTCACTAGCTGGGGGAAACTTAAAACGATCGGGATTCGACTCGATCGACTGCAAACCGCGCTTTCCTCTCCTCATGTTGAGGGTATCATTTTATAGTGTTCGAGCCTGGCCTGTCCCTGTCACATGTCTCAATACCTCCATTTGATTCGTTACAAGTTTAGATCTGACCATGAACTCATGTGTGTCGCCATCGGAAAAATACCAAAGCCTACGTGCCAGATTGCTCATCTCTCTATTGATTTTGTGACTCGCTCCGAAGCTCCAAATGAATTATGCCTTGTAATTCCCCATTTGTTTCATTAACTCATGGACGATAGCCAGAGACCAATCCAATGATAAATGTGAAATGTCCAGAATACACTTGTGATAAATGTGAAATGTCTTTTCTCTATTGATTCCTTTCCAATTACAAGTTCTGTCACAAACTATATCTAATGCAACTCCTCATTGCAGCTATAATGGTTCTATTTATTATCATTAGTTTCTGAGATGCATTTTTAACCTTATAACAGTACTCTTACAAAATCATGTGAATGTGGGTGAGGTGAGACGAAATTGGGTTTAACGTCGCGTCCAAGATTATTGCACTTTTATAGCGACGTGCATGCACGTGTGTGTGTGGCTGCTTGTACTAGTCCGGACTGATGCCCAGAGATACCATGCCGCAGTTTAACATGAATACCCCATTCAGACACAGTATACAGACTCCTTGTTTTAGCTCCTTAATGCCGAGCGCCAGGCAGGGTAACAATACGTACCATCTTTTAACGTCTTTTGGTATGACGCGGCCGGGGATCGAACCCGGACCTTCCGCTTTCCGGGCGGACGCTCTACCTTTAGACCACGGAGGCGGTATGTGAGTGTGGGAATCTAAAGACTAATTTATTTGTTAGATCGACCCGTTTCGCTTTGGCTTCATTTTTTATGCTGGTTGGTTGGTTTGTTGTTTAACGCCTCACTCAACAATATTCCAGCTATATGACGGCGGTCTGTAAATAATCGAGTCTGGACCAGACAATCCAGTGATTAATATCATGAGCATCGATCAACGCAATATGGGATCGATGACATGCATCAACCAAGTCGACCACCCGACCACCCGACCACCCGACCACCCGATCACGTTAGTCGCCTCACACGACAAGCAAAGTCGCCTTTTACGGCAAGCATGGGTTGCTGAAGACCTATTCTACCCCTGATCTCCTTTTGTAGTACGATTTCATCATTTCGTATGATTTGTGTTTTTCCTAAACGTAAACAGTATCAATATTGATATTTGTGTTTGAATTGTTTGGTCCCCCGTGAACAAAACATCACGAACATTTGTTGTCCTTATACACAGCAAATTCCAATCTCATTAAAATCAGATCTTAGTTCTCGCTATCCCTAAACTTTGTTTAGCGGCAGCGAGAACATAGACCTGGTTTTAATGATATTGAGCAAATTCTCACCAAATGATATGAGTTACAATGAACAGGTGCTAACTATAGCTGGGTTATGTCCCTTTTCTTTGTGCGAGTGTAACCTCTCTGTCGTCTCCAGAATATTTACATCATGGAGGACGATTATTGTTATTTATGGTGAGCTATTTTTCGTATTGAAGATATAATTGGATGAACGTAGATAGAACTAGCAGAGCGTATTGGGTATTAATTGTATGGGTGGGATTTAGATTTACATTTCTGTTAATTGCAAAAGGTGGTATACATATATTCATTATATATATGAGAAATAATAAATGTTCGAGTGACTACTCATATACTAGTATACGCTTAACAATGTATAGATTTCTCCTTTCTCATGTTTGTACTTTCTGCAAATTAGTGTATCAAATAAAAATGAATATATTTGTTAACCTATGGGAGAGAGCAATCTGAATTGTGGACTATTGTGCCAAAACATTTTCACGTGAATAACATGTTTAGTAAAAACAGCCGAGAAGGTCAGTTTACACCTAAATAATTAAATTCAGAAAGCAAACATATAAGTATCATTCAGAACAATAAATGCATCGTCTAAAAGGTTAGGCGATTTCTTGTTCAAATAAACCAAAGAATAGTTAAAAAAAACAAATTCAGTAGTCTCCTTTAAGGTGAGGGTCATGCGTGGGAAAGTGTTTTGCTCCATTGCTCAGAGACTAATTTGTAAGGAAATATGTAAATAGAGTATAGCCGACCCACCATCACGCAGTGTTTACCTTTTTTCGGTCAACGTGAATGTGAAGTGCGAAGCGATGCTGGGGGCGATATTGGACGATGTATGAAGCTGTGATTATATGTTCACCTGGGATTATCAGTGGTACATTTGGGTAAGATGTGATTGAAAAGAAATGATATTAAAGGCAGGTGAAATGTCAGGATGTCAGACTGTCAGTGACAGATCCTGATAACCAATGAATGCTTTCCATCATTATTTGGACGATATCTGACGTAAGGACGACTTATAAGATGGTATGAGGATTGGTTGGTTTAGCACAACCGATGGCTTGAATTGTTTGTTGTGCATTATGTTAACCACTGATTTGCATATGTAAGCAAGGATTATATCCTACCAAAATATTATAACGGGGAAAGTTTTACTCGAGTATAGTACAGTAAACTACGGTTATAACGAACTCAAAGGGACCACTAATTGTAATTCGTTGTAACCGTAGTTCGCTATCAGCACAATTCTGAACATATACAGCAAATAGACATGACAAAAAAAATAGTTAGTTATATCCGTCAATTCATTATAAGCGTATTCGTTGTAATCATACTTTACTGTATCTATAGGATTAAACACACTGGTATGGGTTCAAATTCACTAGGGAGAATCACCCTGACACTAGAGAATTTCATCCCCAGGATAAAAAATTTGGTAGGATAATAATATTCACTCTTACACATAGACTATACTTTAGTGTCTGATATTGTGTGAGTGGTTTAATTAGTGGCATGTGGGGACCTGATTCAGACTAGATCTAGCTGCCCAGCAACCTATGGTGGTTCACTGCATGACATCACACCTCAGAATTATGGGGCTAATAATATCAACCCCTAGTTGTTTGACTGACATGAACTGTATGTATTATCTTATGACTGACAGATAATGTATGTCAGTCACTTATGAGATAAACATACTGTGTTTTCAATGTAGAGCGAGGCTACCTGTAGATGTAACCGCGCTAAATTGAATTTGGAACTGAACACGCAGCGCCCCTCATGGTTACTTCCCCCTGCAGTGTTTCATTGTAAGATAAACAATTTTAACTCCCACTCGTCGTTTATTTCTTATTCAGGGACTGATAGACACTGTATATATGTTGACAGGTAGTCCAATTGGTGTAATAGTAGAGAGCCATGGCCTACGTAGAAATCAACCATAATGCCATCAACCAGCCAGTCAACTTCAGCCCAGCTCTCCGACGCCATCTCAGCCTGGACTCTGTGGCCAGCATCCAGGGTTCCTTCTCCTCGGAGGAAGAGTACCATTTTACAGACTCCTCCCACCCGCCCCAGATGCTCACTGGTCTCAACTCCCTGCGCCAGACGGGGCTCTTCTGTGACGTCATCATTTGTGTTGGAGGTCGGGAGTTCCCCTGTCATCGTGTCGTGCTAGCTTCCTCCAGCGCCTACTTCCGTGCTATGTTTGCCTGTAACCTGGTAGAGAGCAACCAGAGGAAAGTGACTCTGAACAATGTTGAACCAGGCATTGTGGAGACACTTCTGGAATTCGCCTACACATCTGAGATACTCATCACGCATCAGAATGTCCAGTCACTGCTGTCAGCTGCCAACCTGTTTGAGATCTTGACGGTTCGGGATGCTTGCTGTCAATATCTGGAGCGCAACATGGATGATAGTAATTGCATAGGCATCCACTGTTTTGCTGAGGCCCATGATTGTATTGAGCTGCAGGAGAAGTCGAAGGAGCTGATCCTGCGCTGCTTCCCTACAGTGAGTCTCCTGGATGAGTATCTTCAGCTGGAGCCTGACAAGCTGCAGGAGCTGCTGCAGGTGGGTGTTAAGATGTAGGGATATTAATGTTTTTTTCAAAACAATCTCATTAACATCTGATCTTTTGTTCTGATGTGATATCTTTCTGCATGAAATTCTGACAAGCCTTCTATTGGCTTCTAAATTCTTGGTATGAGTGAGTGAAGTATTAAGAGCTAAATGCCAATCAAAGACTATAAATAAAGTCTGGTATTATTTGCTTTACTTATTATGCTTATATATTCAACATTAAGTGAAAGGTGTGTTTGAAAATATGGTTTAAACTTCAATATACATGATATACATTCTGAAAGTTAAGTGTAATTTTTCAGAACACCTTCGGACATACTTCACTAAACTGCTAATATCTGTAATAGTATATTAATCACAGAAAAACATATTCTTCCAAATTTTTAAATTAATGTTCTGGTTCTGCCATGATTACATATGATCATGGTCAGCATGATTACCCAGACAAGCAAAGCATAGTATTGTGAACTAGTTGTTGAAAACTTTCTATAACATGTTCATGCCATTGAAGGACGACGACCTCAATATAGAACATGAAGAGATGGCCTTTGAAGCAGTCACTCACTGGCTGGAGCATAACTTAGAGTCACGGAAACAACACCTGGCCAAGCTCCTGTCGGCGGTCCGGCTTCCTCTTGTCAGCCCGTACTACCTGCATGATGTGGTGGAGCGGAATACCATCGTTAACAACACACCGGCATGTAGGCTGCTGGTGGACGAAGCCAAGGCCTACCACATGATGCCAGATAGACGCACAGAGCTTCATACAGTCCGATGTCGGCCCAGGAGGTGTGCAGGTGAGATGATCGTTGTGGGGGTCATATGCTGGTCAGACAAGGATTTATCTGGACCTGCTCAGAGGCTGATGTTCAGCCCCAAGTCTGGAGCGAATGTCAGTAAAAATTCCAAATTAGAAATTATACCTTTTCCAATTCATGCCGGCATGGCAATAACTAATGTTATGGCTTTGTAAAGGTGCCTTGTATTTCACTGATAGCAGGACCAATAGAAAGTAAGAGGCTTTTATGCTTAGTTAACAGTATTGCACTGAATGCAGTGTTTAAGTTTAATGTTAAAATACCCCTGAATTTATGTAAATAACTTTAATAAAATTCCCAATTTTGAACAAAATATGATTTTTTCCCAATTTTCCCTGCCAAGGGCACTTAGTTTGGAATCCTGGATAAATCCCTGGCACTTAATTGGTTGGATTGTCAGACTCGGTGACTTGGTTGGTAGCATGTCATCATATCTCAGTGGTGTGGATCATTGCTCATAATATCAAACACTGGATTATCAGGTCCAGTTTTGATTCTTTACAGGCTGCCATCATATAATGGGACTTTTGCTAAGTGCAGTGTTGAACAACTAACAACATGTAATATGCCACTATTGATCTTTGGTTGTTTTCCATACAGCTCATACAATTTTAAGAATCTTGAACACACCTCATCCTGTTGAAACATGTACGTCATTAAATGGTTCCTGTCAACTCAGATGTTGGCTTTTATTTTTCAGTTGTAGTTGAAGTTCTCATCTCAGTGGGCGGAGAGGATGATCGAGTCATCTTGAAGAATGTTGACACATATGACCCAACCAGCAACACATGGAGGACAGTGGGTTGTCTCCCCTTTGCTGTCAGCAAACATGGCCTGGTTGTGGCGGGTGAGTGAGAGTTCCAGATACTGTACCGGTACACAGTTGGTCAGATAGAAAACAATAACATGAAATATAGAACTAATATTTCAGGTTATCTTAAGCATGTTTTGCCTGAGCATTCAGAATACCAGTGTTTAGCCTCATAATGCTGACATGGATTAATTATGCTTTGATCAAGCGTGGATGCAGCATTTTTAAAAGGGAGGGGTCCAAAATATCAAAATCCTCGAACAGTCAACAGAGCTCCAGATAAGCTTTTGGTGTTGTGGGTATTTTACCCATGCATTTTAAAATCATTGGGTATCAGTAATTCTATCTGCGTATTCAAATTTCTGTTACCCACCAGTTTTTACAGATGTGGGTATTTAAGTTAAATATTTAAAAACACTATTCATCTAGTCCCTGCAAACTGGTGTCGTGTGGGTTCGAGAGCTTTATAGGACTAAAAAATACCACAATACTTCCACAAGAAAGCGTGATGGGAAATGATCATGATGTAACTGTCATCGTGGAGTTTTGCAAGGTTGACGGAATGCCCGTTTATAATTTCAAAATAAGTTGCTGATTTGCTAATCAAATACAGAGGTTACTTCACAATATTTTGATGATACGCACAAGTTTTATTTTTGTAGCGTATCTGTAATGTTCGTTGCGTATTTGATAGGCTTGGATTATATTTTACTGCATATTTCTGCATTTCTGATGCATATTTCACGCAGATACCCAGCTTATCTGGAGCTCTGGTCAATTTTACTGCCTACAACATACTACATTTAGTTTTCAAAAGAGGGGTCCGGATCCCCTGGCGCTCTATTTCTCCCCCGTCCCCCCCTTGATCTGTTGATCCGTTGATATTGATGTTACACTGTCCTCAACAAAATATTAAGTTAAAGAGGCCTGTGCAATGTTTGCTGTTTCAGGAGGAGATTGTCTGTATTTGGTGGGTGGCGAGACTCCCGACGGTGTGGTAACTTCTGATGTGTGGTGCTGTGATTCAACTCTTAACACCTGGAATCAGCGGCAGAGTATGAACAACGCTCGATCTGAACTAGGTGCGTCATCTCTTACAATGCCTTGTCTGAACTGGGAAGTTCCCATAATATCGGGGTTCAACTGAATGAATTCTCTAATGCAATTTCTGGTTTAAACAGCATGAATTCCCATGAGCAATGTATGGTTTAGATTAGGTGAGTTTCAATGTGCAGTATCTGGTCTGAACTGGGTGAGTTAGCATATACAACTGCTCTAAACAGGATGAGTTGCCATGTAAAAAGGTTGTCTTGTCATGTATGACTGGTCTGAACTGGGTGAGTTAGCATATACAACTGATCTGAACTGGGTGAGTTGCCATGTAAAAGTGTTGTCTTGTCATGTACGACTGGTCTGAACTGGGTGAGTTAGCATATACAACTGATCTGAACTGGGTGAGTTCAACTGAGTTGCCATGTAAAAATGTTGTCTTGTCATGTATGACTGGTCTGAACTGGGTGAGTTAGCATATACAACTGATCTGAACTGGGTGAGTTAGCATATACAACTGATCTGAACTGGGTGAGTTACCATGTGCAATCAGGGATCAAGATAATGATTTGAGCCACTGAGCAAATTATTACAAATCATCAGTCTCAATGGGTATAGATAGTTTTCATTGGACATTCAATATGTTTTTCCTTCCTTGGGCATGGTCTTTTGGGTATTTTTGCTGCAATGAATGGACATTTAAAAAAGACTATTCTGCTTAACATGCAGTGTATTTCATACAAATTCTCTTTATGGTTCAGGTTTGACAAACTGCGATGGCTTCATCTATGCTGTTGGAGGCTGGGACGGTCACAGTCGACTCTACTCCGTGGAACGCTACTGCACAACCACCAATACTTGGACCTACATCACACCCATGAAAATGGCTCTCACAAGCCCAGCAGTTATCTCCCTTGCAGGATTTGTGTATGTCACAGGTTCGTGTGTTAACAACATTGATGCCACCATCACCTTGTTTATGGTACAGTTGATTTTAGGAAATCTAGAAACTTTTGGGGCTTTGTATTTTATCACAATTTTGGATGATTTTGTTTGTGCTGATGAACCATATTAATAAAGATTTTTTTCACAACATCACACTATGATCAAGGAGAAAATAATGTTTTATATGGTGTTCTCAACCATACATGAACCTTATCACATGACCACAAAACTGACAGAGATCATATGATATTCATACAAATTTCCTGTCTTCTTGAAATGATTCCAGTTGATTTTGAGATCAGTGAGAGATTGTATTGAAAACTGAAAAGTATGAATAAATAAAAACGTATGCTTATTAAGATGATTGGATATTTGAAAGCATCTGATGGATGAAGGAGTAAGCATATGCTTGACATCTATTAATTCTCTCTCTTATGTGTATGTCTTCTAAATGTCATTCAAAGACTTGAAACTAGAATGTGTATTTACTAGTAAAAAATATTTCTCCCCCCACCCTCCTGTTTTTAATGGGGAGGCCTTGTGGTTAACACGTTCGCTTGTCAAGCCGATGACCAGGGTACGATTCCCGACATGGGTACAATGTGGAAGCCCATTTCTGGTGTCCCCCGCCGTGATATTGCTGGAATATTGCTAAAAGCGGCGTAAGACCATACCCACTCACTCACTCCTGTTTTTGACACATTTGTTCAAGTTGTTGCTATAAATGTGTTTGCAAATCCGAAAGAACAATAACAGCAAAACAATACTAGTACAGATTGTAAGTGTATCACTTCTAAATGCTATTCAAAGTAGTGATGAAAGCAGCTGTTGCAAGTGATCTTCACCTTCGTCGTGTAGGTGGGGCAATCCTGGAGGATGGAGATGGCATTGACAAGGTGTCTCGGTACAACCCCCGCACGGACACCTGGGTAGAGAGGGCCCCAATGTTGATAGCACGGTCAGGGTCTCAGGCATGTGCACTGAATGGCTGCATCTATGTTGTTGGTGAGTTCCTGGGAGCTCCTGTATATTATGTATCTTTTAGTAAGTTTAAGGACCGCCCCTGTGGTCTAGTGGTAGAATGTTCGCCCGGAGAGCGGAAGGTCCATGGTTCGATCCCAGGCTGCGTCACAACAAAAGACATTAAAAGATGGTACTTGATGTTACCCTGTCTGCCGCTCTGCATTAAGGGCTAAAACAAGGCGCGGTCGGTTCGGAGTCAGTATACTGTGCCTGAGTTGGGTATTGATGTTAAACTGCGGCATGGTATCTCAGTGGGCTAGCACTATAAATCAGCATCAGTCCGGACTAGTACAAACAACCACACACTCACACATGTATGCATGTCGCTATATAAGTGCAATAATCTTGGATGCGACGTTAAACTCCATTTCACCTCACCTTATTAAGTTTAAGCATTTTTAGGCGTGTTAAGTGAAAACATTTAAGATTTAACCTTGTCTGTAATAAAAGTTGTATCTATTACATACATTCAGTTGCACTGTTTATTGTTAACAGCTCTTCAGGACCAAATAGACCTGGGAAGAAATATAAAAATATAACTCCATAATTCCGGGCCTAGTCCAGCAAGGGTCGAAACTGGACTTTTATAATCAGTTAACTCCCTTGCCATGGGAAGATGATGCTTTGGTAGCAAAAGTAACACTTAAATGTTATTTGTTATCTGTATTCCTTTTCTGGCCTTTACTGAAAATGTTGTGAAAATATATAAACTTACGTCCTAGATGTTTTGATACTTTATTACCATAGCAGTGAAGGTACCATTGTTAAACTGTAACATGTTTAAAGAATATTAGATTGATGTCATACTTTGATCTAAAATCAAGCTGATGATCATGAAATATGTTGCTTCACATCATCAAGAATTGTTAAAAGTTTTTTCATTCAACAGGGACTGTCACAGGCTGAGCTCTGTTTGTGTTACTTGGCATCTGTGATTTTCAGTAGTCAAAGAAAGACAAAGGAATTGATGCCATTGCTGAGGGATGGTCATGTATTATAGAAGTAATCAGGGGAGGATCACTAAAAATATGACACTAGGGGAGGGTCCTTGTTTTCAGTAAATTAGTGCATCAAAAACCTCTGACCCCCACCCCCTGTAATAAATGACTGGTCCCTAACTGTGTGTCCTCAGGTGGCTGGCATGCATCCACTGAAAACACCAACAAGATGGAGTGCTATGACCCTATGACCGACACCTGGTGTCAGAAGGCGTCCATGAACGAGCGGCGATACAGACCTGGGGTGGCCGTGGTCGGGGGCAAGATCTATGTGTGTGGTGGCGAGGAGGGGTGGGACCGGTAAGTGTGTTACAGGAGGAATCAGCTTGGACAGAAGAGGGGTAGGGTGGGGCAAGATCTATGTGTGTGGTGGCGAGGAGGGGTGGTGGGACCGGTAAGTGTGTTACAGGAGGGATCAGCTTGGACAGAAGAGGGGTAGAGTGGGGCAAGATCTATTTGTGTGGTGGCGAGGAGGGGTGGGCCCGGTAAGTGTGTTACAGGAGGGATCAGCTTGGACAGAAGAGGGGGTGGCCATGGTCAGGTGCAAGATCTATGTGTGTGGTGGCGAGGAGGGGTGGGACCGGTAAGTGTGTTACAGGAGGGATCAGCTTGGACAGAAGAGGGGTGGGTGGAGCAAAATCTATGTGTGTGGTGGCGAGGAGGGGTGGGACCGGTAAGTGTGTTACAGGAGGGATCAGCTTGGACAGAAGAGGGGTGGATGGAGCAAGATCTATGTGTGTGGTGGCCAGGAGGGGTGGTGGGACCGGTAAGTGTGTTACAGGAGGGATCAGCTTGGACAGAAGAGGGGTGGGTGGAGCAAGATCTATGTGTGTGGTGGCGAGGAGGGGTGGTGGGACCGGTAAGTGTGTTACAGGAGGGATCAGCTGTGACAGAAGAGGGGGTGACCATGGTCATGTGCAAGATCTATGTGTGTGGTGGCGAGGAGGGGTGGGACCGGTAAGTGTGTTATAGGAGGGATCAGCTTGGACAGAAGATGGGTAGAGTGGGGCAAGATCTATGTGCGTGGTGGCGAGGAGGGTCGGGACAGGTAAGTGTGTTACAGGAGTGATCAGCTGTGACAGTAGAGGGGTAGGGTGGGGCAGGATCTATGTGTGTGGTGGCGAGGAGGGGTGGTGGGACCGGTAAGTGTGTTACAGGAGGGATCAGCTGTGACAGTAGAGGGGTAGGGTGGGGCAGGATCTATGTGTGTGGTGGCGAGGAGGGGTGGTGGGACCGGTAAGTGTGTTACAGGAGGGATCAGCTGTGACAGTAGAGGGGTAGGGTGGGGCAGGATCTGTGTGTGTGGTGGCGAGGAGGGGTGGACCGGTAAGTGTGTTACAGGAGGGATCAGCTGTGACAGAAGAGGGGGTGGCCGTGGTCAGGTGCAAGATCTATGTGTGTGGTGGCGAGGAGGTGTGGGACCGGTAAGTGTGTTACAGGAGGGATCAGCTGTGACAGAAGGGGGGGTGGGTGTAGTTGGGGGCAAGATCTGTGTGGTGGCGGGGAGGGGTTGAACAGGGTGGGGCTCAACTTGACATATTGTTCGGAGAGGGAGGGAAGTATAACAGGAGGAAGCAATAGGAGAGTGTACGTGTCCGGAACAAATTCCTTGGAAAAGATACTTAACTTATAATTAATATATTTAGTTCCAAGCATATGCAGGCGGTTGGGTAGCCTAGTGATTTGCTTCTCACATCGAAGGCCTGGGTTCTATTCCCCACATGGGTACAATGTATGAATGTATTTCTGGTGTCTACCATTCATTGAATATTGCTTTAAAGCAGCGTAAAACCATACCTACTCCAAGCATATGCAAAGTAATCATGTCCAAGGGTTTTAGCTTGTTTGCTGTTTTCAGTCTCATTATTCATACATGTATTAGGTAAGATATTTGCTGCAGAATTCTACCTTGCCCATGGAATATGCAGAAGGTGATGTTTTCGGGGATCAGTTCACTACAACTAATTCTTAAGTGATAATTACAGTAAATATTTAGTTATTACTCTCAATGGTAACAGGTATGCAGTACACTTTGATTAGTCAATCCTGGTACAACTAAGGGGCACAACTACACCTTCAATTTGCAGCATCTTAGACCACATGGCGGTCCGTGTCCTAGGAACTTTTTAACATGTTATATGGCACAAAAAGCCAGGAGTTTTACTTGAGTAGGTTCACAATACTTAATGATTAAAGTAAGTGAATGTTGTTCTCTGCATGTAGATATCATGACACGGTGGAGTGCTACAGTGAGGACACAGACAGCTGGGAGATCGTCGGGGAGATGCACATCAGCCGCAGCTGGCTAAGCTGTGTTTCCATGGTGATGAGGAAAGACATGGTGGAAGAGAGATCGTTGTTTGAGGAGACACTGCCAAGTCACCTGACAAACATTTGACAAGATGTTACTGTTCAGGTCACACATTATCCGGCAGCAACTGTCAGTTGTTTCCAGCTACCATTGGCAGTGCAATCAGGGGAGGTAACTGTACACTTCCATGAGCAGAGGCAGTGTACTTCTTCAGCAAACTGTTGTGGTTCCCACTGGAGGAACGGGTGGGGGTGGGGGTGGGGGGCAAGGCAGGCACCACTCCTTTTTTCCAGACACCTTTACATGTCAACCTGTCATGAGTCACCCCATGGAGATTACAGGTTATAAATGGTCCCCCTATGCTGGTCCGTAAGAGGTGACTTAATGGATTGGGTGAGCTTGGTGACTTGGTTGACTGCGTGTCATCATACCTTGATAGCGTAGATTGGTGCTCATGATATCAATCACTAGATTACCTGGTCCAGGCTTGATTATCTGCAGGCCACCATCATTTATTTGGAATATTGCTCAGTGTGGTGTTAAACAAATGTTCTGATCATGAAGTATTTCTTGTATTGTGGATTTATTGTTTGGAATGATATTGATCCTGCTGAAGACAAATATTGCCTCAATGTTGACTGCTGCTACGTGTTTGTTATTTGTAACAGGGAGGCTGGTCTTGAGCTCTTTCATCCCTGTCTGCATGCTGAATATTGAGTGGGACATTACACAACAAACAAACACAATGACTCATTAGCCTCTCAATCAAGTTTTGTTCACTGCATGACTGGGAAAGTGTGAACCCTGTAGGTTATCATATCTGGACCAGGCAAACCCATGACTCAATACTTGAGTCATGTAGGGATATACCCGATGTGAAATCCTCCATCCTTTATGCATAAAAATTGAAGCAGGACAGAAAAATACAGTGCTTCCACAGGGATTCAGATATTTGTATGCATGGTTAGGAATGAATTGTACTAGTTCATAATTTGGTACCGCATAAAATTTATTTATGTAAGTATTTACTAAAAAAGACACAATTCACAGATTCGTTTCAGTTGGGGATCTCCCCATCTATTTTTAACTATATCCTTTGAGCATGTGCAGCCTTAAGCCACTTGTGGTAGAGAATGTATTCAGTTCTTCACATTTCCCTGGGACCCCATGTTTTAACCTGGGACCCCTACAATTAAAGGCTTTCAGTCGCCAGGACCCCAAAATGGAACCCCTTGGTCTTGATGTAGGTACTGGTTTGATGCTGGTAGTGGTTTGCCTGGTCCACACTTCATTGTTTACATGCTGCTGCCAGATCACTGGAATAATGCTGACTGGGGCGTTGGAGTTGTTTCAGTGGAAGACAGCTTACAATGTCATATTACCACAGGTGTTCGTACCTCTAGTTTTACCCAAGCACAGTCCTGTCCCTCAAAGCAATCTTAGCGCTAAGATTATTGGAAATGCCATACTTATGACATTGATTTAATACAATGTTATGGCAACATGGCCCAGTTATTCTGTTGACACCTATACTGGTACTGGGACATGAAGGGTCGAGTCACTCAACTACAGCAGGTACCGGACATCCAACGATCACAAATATTCAATAACCCGCCCCTGCAATGTGTCCCAGATGTGTATATTGCACTGGAGCCATTGTATGAGATCCAGATGTCTGACTCGGTTGACACTGAAACATGGCTGACATCTGTTAAATAAGCCTGAACAAATATTTGATCTTGGGCAACAATACACACAAAATAAATGTCATTAAAGTATTTTGTTACTGATTTGGACAGGGAATGGATGTCCTGATAACTTGGTGGTTCTCTCTGTTAGAATTATTAAGACCGTTGTTGCCTGAGAACCAATAATTTCATTTTGATTAGGACGAAACAAATACAATGTTTGTGTATCTAAATGACGGCTCCCTTTTTTTAAAAGTGTTTAATATTTTGTGGTGAAGTTATCATCGTTTCACACAGATAAATATCAAGGATATCCTACAAATATTTATTTATGATCAAACAATCCAACAAACAAATGCATTTTTCATGCATTTCTCAATATGAGTGTGACACATTGCTCCCAGCCTCTGAGTTCTTAGGAACCCATGAAGATACGGGGTAGAATAGGTCATCGTATCCCAATTGCATAGATCGATTCACATGATGTCAATCACTGGATTGTCTGGTCCAGACTCGATTATTTTCAGACTGTCGTCATACAGCTGGAATATTGCTGAATGCAGCGTTAAACAACAAAGTTCTTAGAATATGAGTATTAATATGTTGCGTGTGGGCGATTTCCTTCTTAGCTCATCAAGCCCTGGTCATGGTTTACTGAATTGTCATGGTTTACTGAATTGTCAATGAACTTTCCACATGCTACTGAAGAGCCACCTGATGAATTGAGCTGAACAGCATCCAGATGTTTCTGAATGTAAGTTTGTAACTGAACTTGAGCTCGTTCAAAGCAGCAAATTTGAGCTATCAAGTTTTACCCCACAATGGCTGCAAAGTACGTGGATGTGTAAGTACTTGGCTCTATGTTGTGATATCTGCTGATCGCAAGGAACATGAATGACCCTGCTGACTACTGGCCGGTATGTTTGGAATTGTTCCTAGTAACCAAAGCTTCTCAGTGAATTAACTGTATTGGGTGGTCAGACTTGATGGTGTGGTTGACTGCATGTCATTGTACCAGACATCTTTCTGTCTGGCCGAGAGTTGATTATTTACAGACTGTTTGATATAACTGGAATATAACTCTTTTATTGCATCGTAAAACAATAAAAAAAATAACATTTGCAATGTAAATAAAAAAAGATAAGATACAAGAGGAAGCATTTGTTGACATGACATCCTGTGTGTATCTTTAGAATGACATGACGGTCAGTAATTTTTCACTTGATGAACTTCAAAATTGTAAGAACTGTAGCTATTCTAGGGTAAAAAGAGCCCTATGCTTGTTGAAGGTCTTCACTATTGAGGATTGGATGCTTACAATTGTGTTGATGTCATCATGCCACACTGTACAGGAGTGTTACATAGTCAACCACTAGTTTGCCATGTCTCCGATTATTAACAGGTCGCAATGAACCATTGAATTTTGCTGTACAAAAAGAATCATTCACTTTTTCAGCTGTTTCTAATTGTTCCTATTTTTTTGTCCATTGTGTATTTCCTGTGTTCAATCATTGTCATGAGTGGTAAGAGATGTATTTATCTAAGGAGAATGTACATGTATTTATTTCAGAGGATGTGTATATATCTTGCCCGGTGCAATGATACAGAGTACCTGTACATTATTTATTTATAGTACCTGTGTTCTCTACCATACAAGTATTGTCATTATTCCATGGTTGTCATTAAAGCCATACGAAGATGAGATTATATGTAAGAAGTTACAGGTTAATTTATTGACCATCTATGGTTAGCATTATATGATGTGATGAAATAAACCATCATGTGTGACTATGTTGATGTTCTCTGTTGGTCATCTGAGGAGAAGCTGAATATACACCTGAAGGAAGCTATACCAACATTACCCAGGGGCTGGATGCATGGTGTAATGGAGATCCCTGTTTCCACACAATGCCAGGTGTTATGACCTTCACAATGAGGTTTCACAATTTACTGGTACAGAGTGGCAGATGCTAACAGTACGAGGGCTGGCTGAAAAGTTCCAAGCCTAAGTTGGATATCTCAATCGGATTGAAACAAACTTTTGCCACCAACAAGTACAATCATTTAATGAATCATACGAGTGTTATTATTGTCTTTGTACCAGACCATCTTGTGAACCTACCCATTGAAATCACCAGAAATTGACAAAGCTGGCTATAGGGCAGTCATCAAGTACCTGCAACTGAAAGGGCTAACTCCAACACAGATACATGCTGACATGGTCTCCACTTTAGGGGATGATGCCCCTTCCTTTTCCACTGTAAAGAAGTGGGCTGCGGAATTCAAGCGTGGCAGAGAGAGCCTTGGCGATGACCCGCGTCCAGGAAGGCCTTCAACAGCAATCATTCCAGAAAACATTACCCGGGTGCATGACATGGTGATGGCTTATCGACGATTAATCACTCGACATATTGCCAGTGTTGTGGGCATCTCTCATGAGAGGGTTGAGCACATTATCAGGAATGACAAAAGTTTCCGCAAGATGGGTGCCAAAGCTCTTGACAGCGGATCAGAAACGTGTCAGATTCCTGACGTCCCGTGACAATTTATGCCGTTTTGAAGCAGATCTCGATGATTTTTTGGCCCGATTTGTAACCATGGATGAGACCTGGATTCATCACTTTCAACCAGAAACCAAAATTCAGTCTAAACAATGGAAGTCTTTTGGGATTCCAAGGGTATTCTGCTGATTGTCTATCTTGAAAAAGGCCAGACTATTAATGGAAGATATTATGCTGACCTACTGAGACAGTTGCATGAAGCTATCAAAGCTGAGCGACGGGGAATGTTCACTAAAGGAGTCCTGTTCCACCAAGACAATGCTCCTGTTCACAAATCGGGGGTTGCCATGTCATCGATCCATGATTGTGGCTTCAAACTCATTGACCATCCCCCTTATTCACCCGATTTGACCCCGTCAGACTTCTGCCTGTTTCCCAAAATGAAAAAGGAGCTAGCCGGTCACCATTGTCCTAGTAATGATGATGTCATTTCCACTGTGAATGACTTTTTTTAGGGTGGCTGAAGAAAATTTCTTCTTGACCAGCATCGCTGGCAAAAGTGTGTAAAACTGGAAGGGGACTATGTGGAGAAACCATCGACTTGGTACGGGTCTTTCACAGTTAGGCTTAGAACTTTTCAGCCAGCCCTCGTAGGTCAGGACATGCTTACCCTTTTTGGGGATACCTGATTTTCAGTGATCCGTTCAAAATTGTCGACACTAGTTTGATGTTTATGCCTGAAGGATCCTGTTTCGGCAGATATTCAAAACTGATTATTCTCTGCTGTTGACATTTTTAATTAATATATTCTTAAACATATCTTGCAAAGAAGACTTTGGTGTAGAAAATCCCTGTGAGGCTGAGAGTAGTGCAAAAAATAATGTAAGCCTCTTTTTCTTTTCTTTTATCTGCACTTGGAATGCACATTCAATGACTACTTTTAGTACTGAAGTGACTATGATAGTGCTTGATGATATCCCCATAGGCAAAAGTAACTGTTACTTTATAGGTCTTATGAATTGATTTGAATAAAAGTGAACAGAAAATTAATATTAAAAAAATGATAGACTGCTCAGCAAAAGAAAAGCAAGTTCCAAAAACAATTAAAGTATATTCTTTCCATTTTGTGTGAACTGTTTGGAAAATACTGAAATGACCGATTAACTAAAGTCATGCAACATGCAACGTCCTTTCCACACATTCACACAACTGCAGTCAACCAAGGCCATGAATTGTGCAGGTGCAGTCATCCTAGGTAAAACACGTACATCAAAGTAGGATATTAAACACGGGTTCAGTATTCACACCAGCTGACCACCCGATCCCGTTAGTCGCCTCTTACGACAAGCATTGTCGCCTTCGAAAATGTAGGGCAAGCATGGGTTGCTGAGGACCTATTCTACCCCGGATCTTCACGGGTCGATGGTAGGGCTTTTATAACGTATATTAAATATAAAGTTACGAGGGAGGAACACTCTTTCTCCCACCAAGCAGACTAACAACACAACTGGGCACACTCTTCTGTTTAATATAACATCTGTTGTCAAGAATGGATAACAGAATCTGCTTCATATGACGCGGAAAATTGGAAATTAAAGAACATTTTTTTGGCAATAATAATGACTGAAGCGCAGGGTTTAAAGTGTTGCACCGATGCCGGAGACACATTTCCTTTTGTCTTAGCCTTATGAGATCTGGTATCACTTAAGAGGCCAATGTCGACGACCTGCATCACTTTCAGCTGTCTGACATTTTGTTTGTTTGTATGTGTGTTGGTTGTTTAACGCCTTACTAAGCAATATTCCAGCTATATGACGGCGGTCTGTAAATAATCAAGTCTGGACCAGACTATTCAGCGACTGACATCATGAGTATCGGTCTACGCCATTGGGATACGATGACTTGCATCAACCAAGTCAGCAAGCCTGACCACCCGATCCCGTTAGTCGCCTTTTACGGCAAGCATAGGTTGCTGAAGACCTATTCTCACCCGGATTTTCACGGGTAGTCTGACATATTACGTCATATGACTGACTGTTACAATAGGCCTTAACCCCGGCCACTCACTCAGTTGTAAATTTATTCAACACCAGTCCTACTAATCAACGTGTGATTGGTATATATAGTCTCAGTATGTCACTAACACACAAGCTCTTATGGAGCCCCCAAATTGAAAAAGGTAAAACGAGCCTTTTGAGGTATGACAGATTGCTTTATTCAAATGTGTCATGATATATTCTAAACTCAACAGTTTGATGTTTGAGAGAGCAGGATTACAAGGACTAGAAATAGAGACCACGAATTATTAACAATATTTTAAACAATAGATCAGATCTGCAAACCTTTCGAGAATGAGGACATAGAAAGTAAACTGGCAGATCTTCATTGTAAACGACAGCTAAAGTCACACGAAGGACGTCCAAGGAGAGGCTGGTCATGGCTGGAAATTTCACATCTTCGAGACGAGGTGGGAGATGAGAGCACACAGGAGTGCAACCAGGAACTGTGCCACTGAACGTACGCCTGATTGACACAAATATTATATATATATATATATATATATATATATATATATATATATATATATATATATATATATATATATATATATCATAAGCATCTTGTGCATCCTACTTGTTATTGGATACTACTTGTTATTGGATACTGCGTGTATTTGAAAACTTATCTTAAGCCAGTGATATTCCTGCCAACATTATTTCTCATCTTGCAGTATTAACTGGATCATGCCCCATCTATCAAAAATCCCATCTGTCCACCAAAACAACTAACTCATGCTTCATTCACCATCATTTCCTGCAACAACCATATGCCCTTCCATTTAAAATATCATCTTACCTGTACCCGCCATCAACACCAACCCCCACACGCAACATCTACCAACGACCACCCACACCACCCACCACATGCCACATCCACCAACAACAACTCACACCAACAACCACATGCCACATCCACCAACAACAACCACATGCCACACCCACCAACAACCACCCACACCAACCACCACATGCCACATCCACCAACAACAACCAAATGCCACACCGAGCAACAACCACCCACACAAACAACCACATGCCACACCCACCAACAACCACCCACACAAACCATCACATGCCACATCCAACAACAACCACCACATGTCACATCCACCAACGACCACCCACACCACCCACCACATGCCACATCCACCAACAACCACCCACACCAACAACCACATGCCAAACGCAACAACAACCACCACATGCCACACCCACCAACAACCACATGCCACATCCATCAGCCTCCACATGCTACATCCACCAACAGCCCTCCCCACCAACCCCCAAACGCCAGATCCACCAACCACCACCCACACCACCCACCACATGCCACACCCACCAACAACCACCCACACCAACAACCACATGCCACATCCACCAGCCTCCACATGCTACATCCACCAACAGCCACCCACACAAACAACCACATGCCACATCCACCAACAACAACCACATGCCACACCGAGCAACAACCACCAACACAAACAACCACATGTCACATCCACCAAAAACCATCACATGCCACATCCACCAACAAAAAACACACGCTACATCTACCAACGACTACCCACACCACCCACCACATGCCACATCCACCAACAACCACCCACACCAACAACCACATGCCACATCCACCAACAACCACCACATGCCACATCCACCAACAACCACCCACACCAACCACCACATGGCACATCCAACAACAACCACCACATGCCACATCCACCAACGACCACCCACACCACCCACCACATGCCACACCCACCAACAACCACCCACACCAACAACCACATGCCACATCCACCAGCCTCCACATGCCACATCCACCAACAGCCAAACACCAACAACCACCACATGCCACATCCACCAACAACCACCACATGCCACACCCACCAACAACCACCCACACCAACCATCACATGCCACATCCAACAACAACCACCACATGCCATATCCACCAACCACCACCCACACGACCCTCCACATGCCACACCCACCAACCAACACCCACACCAACAACCACATACCACATCCACCAACCTCCACATGCTACATCCACCAACAGCCAAACACCACCAACCACATGCCACATCCTCCAACAACAACCACATGCCACACCGAGCAACAACCACCCACACAAACAACCACATGCCACATCCATCAACAACCACCACATGCCACATCCACCAACAATCACCACATGCCACATCCACCAATGACTACCCACACCACCCACCACATGCCACATCCACCAACAACCACCCACACTAACAACCACATGCCAAATCCACCAGCCTCCACATGCTACATCCACCAACAGCCCTCCCCACCAACCCCCACACGCCACATCCACCAACCACCACCCACACCACCCACCACATGCCACACCCACCAACAACCACATGCCACATCCACCAGCCTCCACATGCTACATCCACCAACAGCCACCCACACCAACAACCACATGCCACATCCACCAACAACAACCACATGCCACACCGAGCAACGACCACCCACACAAACAACCACATGCCACATCCACCAACAACAACCACGTGCCATATCCACCAACAATCACCACATGCCATATCCACCAACAGCCATCCACACCAACAACCACATGCCACATCCACCAACAACCACCACATGCCACATCCACCAACAACCACCACATGCCACATCCACCAACAACCACCACATGCCACACCCACCAACAACCGACCATACCAACAACCACATGCCACATCCACCAGCCTCCACATGCTACATCCACCAACAGCCATCCACACCAACAACCACATGCCACATCCACCAACGACCATCCACACCACCCACCACATGCCACATCCACCAGCAACCACCAACACCAACAACCACATGCCACATCCACCACATGCCACACCCACCAACAACCACCCACACCACCCACCACATGCCACATCCAATAACAACCACCGACACCAACAACCACATGCCACATCCACCAACAACCACCACATGCCACACCCACCAACAACCACCCACACAAACCACCACATGCCACATCCACCAACAACCACCACATGCCACAGCCACCAACAACCACCCACACCAACCACCACATGCCATCCACACCAACCATCACATGCCACATCCACCAACAACTACCACATGCCACATCCACCAACAGCCATCCACACCAACAACTACATGCCACATCCACCAACAACCACCACATGCCACACTCACCAACAACCACCCACACCAACCACCACGTGCCACATCCACCAACAATCACCACATGCCACATCCACCAACGACTACCCACACCACCCACCACATGCCACATCCACCAACAACCACCCACACTAACAACCACATGCCAAATCCACCAGCCTCCACATGCTACATCCACCAACAACCACCACATGCCACAGCCACCAACAACCACCCACACCAACCACCACATGCCACCCACACCAACCATCACATGCCACATCCACCAACAACTACCACATGCCACATCCACCAACAGCCATCCCCACCAACCCCCACACGCCACATCCACCAACCACCACCCACACCACCCACCACATGCCACACCCACCAACAACCACATGCCACATCCACCAGCCTCCACATGCTACATCCACCAACAGCCACCCACACCAACAACCACATGCCACATCCACCAACAACAACCACATGCCACACCGAGCAACGACCACCCACACAAACAACCACATTCCACATCCACCAACAACAACCACGTGCCATATCCACCAACAATCACCACATGCCATATCCACCAACAGCCATCCACACCAACAACCACATGCCACATCCACCAACAACCACCACATGCCACATCCACCAACAACCACCACATGCCACATCCACCAACAACCACCACATGCCACACCCACCAACAACCGACCATACCAACAACCACATGCCACATCCACCAGCCTCCACATGCTACATCCACCAACAGCCATCCACACCAACAACCACATGCCACATCCACCAACAACCGACCACACCACCCACCACATGCCACATCCACCAGCAACCACCAACACCAACAACCACATGCCACATCCACCACATGCCACACCCACCAACAACCACCCACCACATGCCACATCCAATAACAACCACCAACACCAACAACCACATGCCACATCCACCAGCAACCACCACATGCCACACCCACCAACAACCACCACATGCCACACCCACCAACAACCACCCACACCAACCACCACATGCCACCCACACCAACCATCACATGCAACATCCACCAACAACTACCACATGCCACATCCACCAACAGCCATCCACACCAACAACCACATGCCACATCCACCAACAACCACCACATGCCACACTCACCAACAACCGACCATACCAACAACCACATGCCACATCCACCAGCCTCCACATGCTACATCCACCAACAGCCATCCACACCAACAACCACATGCCACATCCACCAACGACCACCCACACCACCCACCACATGCCACATCCACCAACAACCACCAACACCAACAACCACATGCCACATCCACCAACAACCACCACATGCCACACCCACCAACAACCACCCACACCACCCACCACATGCCATATCCACCAACAACCACCACATGCCACACCCACCAATGACCACCCACACCACCCACAATATGCCACATGCCACATCCACCAACAACCGCCCACACCAACCACCACATGCAACATCCAACAACAACCACCACATGCCACACCCACTAACAACAACCCACACCAACAACCACATGCCACATCCAGCAACAACCACCACATGCCACACCCACCAACAACCCCCCACACAAACCACCACATGCCACATCCACCAACAACCACCACATTCCACATCCACCAACAACCGACCACACCAACCATCACATGCCACATCCACCAACAACCACCACATGCCACACCCACCAACAACCATCCACACCAACCACCACATGCCACACATACCAACAACCACCACATGCCACATCCACCAACAACCACCCACACAAACCACCACATGCCACATCCACCAACAACCGACCACACCAACCATCACATGCCACATCCACCAACAACCACCAAATGCCACACCCACCAACAACCACCACATGCCACACCCACCAACAACCACCACATGCCACACCCACCAACAACCACCACATGCCACACCCACCAACAACCATCACATGCCACACCCACCAACAACCACCACATGCCACACCCACCAACAACCCCCCACACCAACCATCACATGCCACATCCACCAACAACCACCACATGCCACACCCACCAACAACCATCCACACCAACCACCACATGCCACACATACCAACAACCACCACATGCCACATCCACCAACAACCACCCACACAAACCACCACATACCACATCCACCAACAACCGACCACACCAACCATCACATGCCACATCCACCAACAACCACCACATGCCACACCCACCAACAACCCCCCACACCAACCATCACATGCCACATCCACCAACAACCACCACATGCCACACCCACCAACAACCATCCACACCAACCACCACATGCCACACATACCAACAACCACCACATGCCACATCAACCAACAACCACCCACACCAACCATCACATGCCACATCCACCAACAGCCACCACATGCCACACCCACCAACAACCATCCACACCAACCACCACATGCCACACATACCAACAACCACCACATGCCACATCCACCAACAACCACCCACACAAACCACCACATGCCACATCCACCAACAACCGACCACACCAACCATCACATGCCACATCCACCAACAACCACCACATGCCACACCCACCAACAACCACCACATGCCACACCTACCAACAACCACCACATGCCACACCCACCAACAACCATCACATGCCACACCCACCAACAACCACCACATGCCACACCCACCAACAACCCCCCACACCAACCATCACATGCCACATCCACCAGCAACCACCACATTCCACACCCACCAACAACCCCCCACACCAACCATTACATGCCACATCCACCAGCAACCACCACATTCCACATCCTCCAACAACCGACCACACCAACCATCACATGCCACATCCACCAACAACCACCACATGCCACACCCACCAACAACCACCCACACCAACCACCACATGCCACACACACCAACAACCACCACATGCCACATCCACAAACGACCACCCACACAAACCACCACATGCCACATCCAACAACAACCACCACATGCCACATCCACAAACGACCACCACATGCCACATCAACCAACAACCACCCACACCAACCACCACATGCCACCCACACCAACCATCACATGCCACATCCACCAACAACTACCACATGCCACATCCACCAACAACCATCCACACCAACAACCACATGCCACATCCACCAACCTAAACATGCTACATCCACCAGCCTCCACATGCCACATCCACCAACAACAACCACATTCCACAACCATCAACAACTACCACATGCCACATCCACCAACAACCATCCACACCAACTACCACATGCCACATCCACCAACCTAAACATGCTACATCCACCAGCCTCCACATGCCACATCCACCAACAACAACCACATTCCACAACCATCAACAACCACCACATGCCACATCCACCAACAACCATCCATACCGACTCCCACATGCCATCCACACCAACCATCACATGCCACATCCACCAGCCTCCACATGCCACATCCACCAACAACAACCACATTCCACAACCATCAACAACCACCACATGCCATTTCCACCAACAACCACCACATGCCACATCCATCAACAGCCACCCACATCAACCACCACATGCCACATCCACCAACAACCACCACATACCATTTCCACCAACAACTACCACATGCCACATCCACCAACAGCCACCCACACCAACCACCACATGGCACATCCACCAACAACCCCCACGTGCCACATCCATCAACAACCACCCATACCGACTCCCACATGCCACATCCGCCCAACCACCACATACTCTTTCCTCAACGGCTATTTGACCCATTACCCAGAAACCTCCTCCCACATCCACCTAACAACCACCGACTCCATCCATCAACAAACACCCACCATCCACCAACACCACCTGATCAATTCATCAAATAATCCACGCTCACTGGCGCTCACTGTTTCAGTACAGGTGCAGAGAGACTCACCTGAACATGGTACAATTTCTTCACATATCACTCTTCTGTTACTGTTTGCGTTAGTTCCTTTCAGCCTGAACTTTGTTCCACCACTGGCGTGAACCGTCGCCCGGTCAAAGTTGGCGGCCATGTTGGGTCTTTGCCAGCGTCCTGCTACATCAGCCTCTGCATTTTTGTTGGCGCTGCTACTTGGGGCCACCCAGGTCCACGTCCCACCGATCTTCTCCAAGCCGACCCAATATGTTTGAAAACCTGTACATCAACATATATAAAAGAATATATACATTTGTTCCAACCTGTTCCGTGATAATTATCATAGTAGTTCAAACATTCGATACCATGATGAAAACCGGGTGCGATTTCCATTTACGTTCTACGATTGGTTTCTTGGTGCATTGCTACAGTACTAAGTGGAAATGGGGTTTATTCTAAATCGTTCTTTCCAAAGTAACAATATTGTTTTTCTTTTTTCTAATTTCGCTCAACTCCTGGAAGGCGTCAATAAAAGTGACAAAACCCTTTCCATTTTCATAAGAATTCTCTGCCAAAAGCATAGTCGATTTTACGAACCAGACTATACAACGAACATGAGATTATGAAACACTAGCAAATAGTGATAATACTAGGAGTTCGCGAAAATGTGAATGTATCCTGCTCATCAGTGGATTAGTTAAATGCAAACTAATATTTGTAAAATTGATCGTATGACAAGAATAGAATACTCTGTGGGGACAGTGATTTTTTATCAAGAAAAAAAATTGTTCCCTGAGGCTTTCAAAACATACCGGATATACAGGGTATTCTGAAAAATGTAAGACTGCTTGGTTTCTTCTTTCAGGCAAAAACATCTTGAAACGTCTTGAAGCAGTGACCGGTCCATTACTGATGGCGTCTCGCCAAGACCTGCTGGCCTCTCGTCATGCCCTGATGGCGTCTCGTAATGACCTGATGGCGTCTCAGGTCATGACCTGATGGCGTCTCGCCATGACCTGCTGGCATCTCGTCATGATCTGCTGGCCTCTCGTCATGCGCTGATGGCATCTCGTCATGACCTGCTGGCGCCTCGCCATGCTCTGATGGCGTCTCGTCATGCTATGATGGCATAGGGCGTTGCTTATGCTTTCAGTCACTGGTTTGTCCATCCCAAGCATGATTAACAACTCATCGCAGAGAAATAGCTGGAATATGGCTGACGTATTCTCTTTTAGGGGCACGAGATCCAGGTGGGTTATTTTATTACGCAAACGAATATCACATAGTATTACCTATTCCGTCCTCGAGTTTGCTGGCAAACGTGTCATCTTCCACCCTTACAAGGCGTAAACTGTTGACTTCACAGAACGTCTTGGCCTCCACGTAGTTCATCGTACTGTCGACGCCATAGAGACATCGACCACCTATCTTAGCTGTCAGGGACATTGCCGATGGCAGACTTTGCTGGAATACTTGAGTACAAGATGCACTACCTGGGAAGTACAGAGTGGACAATACCTAAGTACGTACTCATTTTAAATTATAAAACTCCAGTGACGTTATGCTATTGTTCTCCAGGGGGATTTAATCTCATAAATAGGGATGCTGTAATATCCCCGGGATTTTATATGATATTTCAGGCATATTTGCTATATAATGTCTTATTATATCCCCTGGAGTTTATTAATACAAGTTCCGTTTAGATTGTAACATATCCATGTTTCTCGCTAGAAATTTATTTTGCATTTGAACACAATGTAATGAAATGTAAAATCAATGACAAATGTTTTCTGTATATTCCCGAACATCCGCAGCCCAGTGAATGTACCACTAGGCCACAGAGGCGCTGACAAATCACAACGTTTTTAAGAATGACTTTTTCCAAGTTCAGTACGCCAGCAACAGATATTTTACGTCCGTTTCCTACGGTTCATGGAAAGTATGTTTGAAACATAAAACTGTTTATTCATGTTGTTTTAAGTTACTTTCCCCCTCGGGTTTTAAATATCATTAAAAAAACTCGGACGTGCTTTATCCTACACGTAACACCTTCATATAGTCAAACATGTTCTCCTGGCCTCTGAGTCGGATATCCTAAATATGAGCTACTGTCGAAGTAACACGGACATGTGTTAACATCATTCCTATTTTCTCTGATACGATTATGCGCCGAGGAATATGGTTGTAATACACCTTTATTTATTCACATCCTCCCCCTTTTTGTGATGATGTGATGCCCATGAAGAAACACTGGAATATAACATCCAAAAATGGCTTCCACGGGAGATGTCGCTCGGGTGAAATCAAGCCATATCTCAAAGGGTTATCGCTACAATGAAATTGCACCGCAATGCTTTGCAGACCACTGTGACGTCATCGGTTACTATGATGTCACAATCAAAGGACATCACTAACCTCGATACCACTGCAGCTGTAGCTGTACTGTTTACTTGAGACACTGGTTTTAACTGTTTACAAATTGAAACATGGTTTTCAATAATAAATACAATCTAACCGTTGTGTCGTTTGATATCACATACATCAATACTCGTCCAAAAACCCAAAAAGTTTAAAACTTCGACTCGGTTGAATATCGGTTTGGGTCATTTACGGATAAATAAAGATAAAAAGGATAGGTCGGAACCAATCTCGTTCAAATCTGGGGGCACGGGTGGCTCGGTCGTCTAAGGCTCTGCAATTTTATGTGAAGAGCTGTGTCCCCTAGGCGTGCCATAAACCTATGCTCGTGGATTCGAATTCCAGATTCGCCCTGATTGTTTCTAGGTTTGTTACACCATACTGGTGCTACTGGTGGTACAAAGTGGTAAACGTCGAGACCTGCATCACTTCGGGACTTCATCCCACATCAAGCTGACAAGTCACAGTACAACTACATAACGTTTCAAGCGGCGGAAAAGGCAGGTCACTCGCTCATACGTAAGCTGGATAGATCTATTTCTAATTCTTTACAGGTGTGTTACGACTCCATGGCCAAACGCCCATGGTTAAATATAATACGACTAAGATGGTCGGAAGTATTTCCAGTCGAAACCAAACTGAACTGAAGTATATTTCGGCAGCTTTCTTGATTGATGCCACAAGAACATTTCGGTAAGCAGATATATATGGCGTACCTTCCCGAACATTGATACTAATATAAAGATCATGTACAATCGATTAAAGTACAGATGTGTACATGTGATATCTTTGCTATGTACAGTGGTCATGGTATATGAAGATTAATCATATAAAGTGTTAATATGTTTCAAGAGGAAAGTGTCTACCTTTGTACACTGTCTGGTCAACACACGGACATTTGGACACATCCGATTCCTTCGCTAGGACCGACTTTTCCATGAGCAATATCTGGAACAGTTCGGAGAAAACGTTAATAATTTTATATAAACATTTATTGCAAAGTCCTGTATACAGTGTACCACCAGAACAATAAACTCTTTATGTTTATCCGCAACAGTTGGGAGAAATTGATGCTGACAGAAAGTTCACAACGCTTACAAGACTTAGACCCCAGTGGGGCTTCCGGGTTAGAGCAGGTCCCCAGCAACCTATGCTTGTCGTAAGAGGCGACTAAATGGATAAGGTGGTCAGGCTCGATGACTTGGTTGGTCATCGTATCCCAATTAAGTTGATCGATGTTCAGGATGTTAAACACTGAATTATCTGGACTCGATTATTTCCAGACCGCCGTAAAAAAAGGAGTCTGCCAATACGCATCAGACACAGAGCGATTAAAGCATTATGGCAGACGTAAAGCTATTTTAATGTATAGGAAATGCCTACGAAAATTATTGATTGTGGACGTTGACTATAATAAAATGTGCAAAGCACAACTGCGGGATCTCTCAGAGCGCGGTCATCGGTTAAGATCAATGTTGTACCTTGCAGGGTACTTGACAACAAAATAAATAGCTGTTCATGTTATACATGTTTACCCTGTTGGTATCGGCCTGCAAAGCAACAAACTGTACGTCTGGGAAGCCATAATCATCACCGGCAACCTCGTCCCCCGTAGCCCTGTAACAGGTGCCCCCGATATACGACGACACTGTGACTTGGCTTCCTGCAAGCAATCAGGAGACCATCAGTTAAGATCCAGGGTTTTGAAAAAGCGGGGATGCAAACTACCGAAGTCAGGACAAACACACAGAGGACTGACATATGTTGTACACTCACTCACTCACGCAAGAATGCACAACTCAATCACTCACGCATTTACACGCGTTCACAACTCACTTACGTTCCCCAATCACTCACGCATTCATTCGTATTTCTGCAGGTTTCAACCTGTACTTGGTTGGCCTAGAACAGTAAGATTTGGTTGGTATGTACGGTATCTCAAAATATGAAATAAAACGCATTTTTAACAACAACCCATAACACGATCGTGTCGATATCTCTCAATTTCTGCCGTTAACATAGAAACTGTGGCCGAGCCAGAACACTCGACTCTTTACTGTTGTTCGATCCATAACTGTTCATTTGGTGTAGGGCGGTCGGGTAGCCTTGTGGTTAAAGCGTTCGCTCGTCACGCTGAAGACCCGGGTTCCATTCCCGACATGGGTACAATGTGTGAAGCCCATTTCTGGTGTCCCCCCCCCCCCCCCCCCCCCCACCCGTGATATTGCTGGAATATTGCTAAAAGCGGCGTATAACCATACTCACACACACACACACACACACACACACACACACACACACACACACACACACACACACACACACGCATACATACATACATACATACATAAGAACACAAATACACACTATGCATCCTATCAGTGCAGTAAGTTGAGATCGAGCTCTATGTATTTGAACAACGTTACCGTAAACAGCAACCCCTGTCGCGACGCCCGTTGTACAGAGACAATCACCCTTTTCAAAACGGCCACAATTTGAATATGGGCTCTGATCGACGTCACTGCTCAGTACCCATACGGACTGAAAGATGAATGCAAGGTATAGGCATATGTTAACAATTGAAGACTTGAACAGCATGAATTGAACGAAAGAATGCACACACAGAGAAACGTGACGAAAAGAGAAAGGTTTTGTTCTCTTCAAACTTTAATCGATATGTATCATATATTCCTACAATTGTCGTCTTAGGCGCCGCGATTCGCCCTTGGACACGCCAGAAACCTATGATTGTGGATCCCGAATCCCGGTTCGCCCCGATTGTTTCTAGGTTTGTCAGCACCATACCCGTGCTCGTGGGTTTCACCGAGGTCTGAGACCTGCATCACTTCGGGCTTTCCTCCCACATTAAGCTGACACGCCGTGATATAACTGGAATACTGTTAAAAGCAGCGTTAACCCCAACTCACTCACTCCTACAATTGTCAAAGAACTCTAAGAGACTTTAAAACAAAGTAGTTAACAGTTTGTCTGACGTACACTGCCATTGGCGTTCGTCAGTTCAAAGAACATCGTGGATAAGTCCCTCCCAAAGGTTGTACCGTTGGTAACGTCTCCTGTGGCTATGTAACAATCAGACTTGCTCAACACTTTCAGGGCAGCTGAAGATATTCAAAATGCATCCGTTACATGTTGACACAGGTAGCATTGACATGGAAACATAGGAAGCGTAGGCATTTCAAATTGTTATGAATTAAAAAAGAAATGTTTTCAAATTACGGAAAATATAAACAGTTACTTTTTTATGCAAATTGTTTGAATGGCGGGTGCTACCGGTAGGGCAGGACATGCTTACCCTTTTTGCAAACACCTGGTGTCGTCACTGATTGTAGTGTTTCATGTACGTAGTTTAAACCCCTATTTTGCCTTTTACGCCTAATGGAATATGTTTCGCCCAATAATCGAGTTAATCTCTGGAGCTGACGTCTTATATTTTTAACTGCTTTCCTGATACTGATCTTAATTATATAGTTTTTCAAATGTTGCAACATGTCAGTTTTTTATGTGCATTTAGCAGTCGGGAGAGCATGATGAAGAGGCAAGGAGTAGTTCCGAAACGACGTTACATCCAATTAAGATATCGATGTTGCTATCCCTAACGGTTTGATGTCTTCACAATGAGTCTTTAATTACATGTCTGATCTACAAACATTGTTTATCCTATTGTGGGATGCATGATATATGAGACGTTTCTTTACCTGGAAGAACAAGAGCAAGAGCCGTTTGGCTGTTCACACACATGCAGGTTCCTCGTGCTGTACAAAGAAAAACATATTAAAATAAGCATATGAAGCATCTTCCCGAGGCAAGTTAACTCCCTTGCCTCGGGAAGATGCATATGCACATGAATCAATGAATACGTCAAGAAAATGTGTATCGACCTACTGCGAGCCTTTTATTAATAAAAAAAAAAAGAAAGAAAATGAACGAAACAAACTTCAAATATTTTCTTTTTTTCTTTTAATTTATGTAATATATACAGAAAAGCAATGGTTTTATAATATGCCCTTATTACATTAAGCGATACTAGTATACATACATAATTTCTAGTTTGGTTTTCTTTACTTACGGGAGCATCCCGAAGCCCGCCCTTCACATACAGGACGATATGACAAGCTTTCGTCGCCACCCTTCCACAAGAATTTGTTCTGGTTCAGCGTTGTCATGGTGAATGCCCGGTCATAGTTATCGGCATCCTGACTCTGTTCCCATCGAGCGTTCGTCATGGCCTCCCCTCCAGCTCCTCCCCAGCGCCACGTCCCGGACGTCTTCTCCAGGTGCATCCAGTGCTGGCTATACCCTACAGGGAAATGTAAGCATGGAACATCCTAAATGGAGAATGATATGCTTTGAACTTCTGTTTGAACACACTATAATGGGGAAAACATGGGGTCTCCATGGCTTCGTCGTCCTTTATATTAAGTACAGCAAAGTACGGTTATAACGAACACGCTTATAACGAACTGACGGATATAACGAACTATTTTTGGTCCTGTCTATTTGCTGTATATATTCCGTACATTTGCTTATAGCGAACTACGGTTACAACGAATTAAAAGTAGTGGTCCCTTTGAGTTCGTTATAACCAGTAGTTTACTGTATCATGAATTGTTCGTTTACTACAGAGTCATTCATAAAATATGGTCATCTTAGAGCCGAACATTTAGATCATTAACTTCAGTTTCATCTCACAAAACGTTCTCAGTGAGTTTGCTCTAGGAGCACGGAATGCACATGTTGATATAAATTTAAAAGCAAAATGGACAATTACCTGTGGCTTCAAAGACCTTCTTCTGCTTCTGAGGATCCTGCAGTTGCACCAGTTTCAGGCCGTTGACCTCACAATAGGCCTTGGCTTGGCTGTAGGACAGTACGTGATTTAGACCGTAGACACAGGTGCTACCGAACTGAGTATTTGACTTCATGTAGTCGTAGCCGGCAAAACTTGTAGAACATTCGTCGCTGTCTGGTAAAGAAAGTAGATATAAAGTAACGAAGCAAACAGATTTCAGTCGGAGTTACTTTGAAAAATGCAATTTGTTCAACAAAAAGGGAGCCGGGTTTTGCTGTATGAGAATGTTCTGCGAGACTTACTTCTAACGATGGTTTCGTCTGTGCACAAGAGGTTAGTGTTGCATCTCTGGCTTGAGACCTGGCTCAGGTTGCTGCTAAGCACCCAAACAGACTGAAACAAAGGACATGAAGGACATGAGGGACATGAATCAGATGGTACCACTTTTTACAATATTTATATTTTTAATACTTCACTTCCATTTAAGCCAACATCAGTCTTCTTCCAGGATATGCATTTAAAAGACACGCATGTATTCTTTCATAGGTCAATCATACACAGAAGCTTGTTACCCCATGACATATATATGCATGATTGTTTCCAGTCGGTTCCAAAAAGGAAAAGGCAGAGTGAGAACCGTTTTGGTCCACCGGATATGCTTTACATATCTTTATGAGTGAGTATGGTTTTACGCCGCTTTTAGCAATAATATTCCAGAAATATCACGGCGGGGGACACCAGAAATGGGCTTCACACAATGTACCCATGTCGGGAATCGAACCCGGGTCTTCGGCGTGATGAGCGAACGCTTTAACCACAAGGCTACCCGAGCGCACCCCTATCTTTATGAAAGTTATTAGACGTGTTGATATGAATGAGAATTGACTTCAACTGCATGTTTGAGACGGATACTAACATTAAATGAATCGGTAAGGCTCAACTGTGTTTAACAGGCCGGTTTTGAAGTTTACAGAAGGTTTTTGACCCAAGTTGATTTTCTAAGAATTATTATAAAAAAACGCTGCAAATACATGGTAATACATAGGGATTCATCCACCCCTTGAGAACGTCCAGAACCGTTACCGGACTCGATTTACAGCAAAGTACGGTTATAACGAACTATTTTTTGGTCCTGTCTATTTGCTGTATATATTCCGTACATTTGCTTATAGATAACTACGGTTACAACGAACTAAACTAAGTGGTCCCTTTGAGCTCGTTATAACCGTAGTTTACTGTATTTATAAACCGCCGTTATAAAGCTGAAATATTGCTGAGTGCGGCGTTAAACAACAAGGAAACAAACAAACCACAGTATTCATGTAAATTGGTGATTTCCGTGTTAGAATCGCCCGCAAACAATACGTTGTGAGTCTGTATTTACAAGTTCAACGTAAACGTAAACACTGTCATCCTGTATTCTCATGCATAAAATTCATTTCCTCTCTTTTTCACTCGACGACATACAGTAAACTATGGTTATAACGAACTCAAAGGGACCACGATTTTTAGTTCGTTATAACCGTCGTTCGTTACAACCATATATACACAAATGGCAGGGACGTACAAAATAAGTTCGTTATATCCGTTAGTTCGTAATAGAGTTTTCGTTATAAATGTAGTTTACTGTATGTGACAACTCGTACCATTAGTCGATAGGTTCAATAAATGTGTGTTTGTTGTGTAACACGGGACTCATTAATAATTCAACAATATGACAGCGCTCTGTAAATAATCAAATCTGGACTAGACAATCCATTAACATCATTGAACCACGCAATTGAGATACGGTAACATGCAATCAGACACCGAGCCAGACCACACGATCCATTTAGTCGTCTCTAAAGACAAGCATACTTTTCCTTACTCGGAGACCGCCTCCGTGGTCTGGTGGTAGAGCGTCCGCCCGGAGAGCGGAAGGTCCGGGGTTCATACCAAAAGACGTTTAAACATGGTACTTGTTGTTACCCTGTCTGGCGCTCGGCATAAGGGGCTAAAACAAGGACTGGTCGGCTCGGAGTCAGTATACTGTGTCTGAGTGGGGTATTGATGTTAAACTGCGGCATGGTATCTCAGTGAGCTAGCACTATAAATCGGCACCAGTCCGGACTAGTACAAGCAGCCACACACACGCGTGCATGCACGTCGCTATATAAGTGCAATAATCTTGGCGACGTTAATCCCGATTTTACCTCACCTCATCTTACTCGGAATTCCCACGCATCAATGAATATGTTCTGTATTCGTTATATATGTGTGTTGTGAGAATATATGCACTTACGCCAGAACCTGGTCTCACCAGTTCATAGAACTCAAGTGAGGCAGTTTGTCCGAAGAAGTCGCCCGTCCTACCGCTCCCAGCGCTTGGAAAACATTCACCTTTTAACACCGTCACTGGGATACCTGTCAAAGAGTTGTTTGTATATAAACACCATCCATTGCCACAACAAAGTACTTTTTTGCTTATCCATTATCCATCCATCCTACATTTTTGTCCTTAAGCCAAAATGACACTATATAGTTATTAATATATAAACTTACTTCGAGTTATACGTCCGCTTGCAAGGAGAAAGTGATAAAGAGACGGAGGTGACGTAACCGTATGGCGACCCCCCCCCCCCCCCCCCGTTTGATTGTATGGAAATTACAGAAGGACTCCATACTGATTGCACCATGTGTGTATGGCAACGCTGATCATATAAGCAATTTCGACTTACGTGATGTGACTGATTTATAGGTACAGTGCAAACTTATTAACTCGAAATTTACTACCTCTCAAGACGACGTTAGTTAATGGACTCGATAGATCCCTTGTCGGCACTATGGTCTAAAATACGTACTCTGCTTGTATCGAAGTACGGATAACTCGATGTCTATTTAGCACCTGGTCACCAGGAATTCGAGATAATGAGGTTTACTTACCCCAGAAAGAGAATGCAGGGGATAGGGCTGCGGTGACACACATGCAAGTGCCAATGGTTGGACCATCTGCGAGGGTAAACAAATGAGGGTTGTGTGAGAGGCATTATCCTCGAATATCCTGTGTCTCAAATCTCCATTTTGTTATGATGAATACCCTGGACCTATGATCAACCGTTTCGGATGACACGACGTTAAACATGGACACGTTAAATGACTAAAACAAGCGTCATATCGACATTTACTGGGAACGTCTTGTAGGATAAGGACTTCCCTCCCTAGTTTCAACATGCTGTCCCTATAGTCAGGCAAACATAATCTTCCCGAGGCAAGGGAATTACCTGACTGTAAAAGTCCAGTTTCCACCCTTGCCAAACTAGGCTGGAATGTCCAGGCTCGATCGTAGCGCCAACAGTGACTATTACGAATTTTGGGGGAAGGTACACACACCGTGTCACTTCAAAACATACATGCCGGGAAAAAAACACCAATTACCATATACTCTCTTTAAAATAACCGCCAAAGTGACATACTGACTCCGAGCCGACCAGTCCTTGTTTGAGCCCATTAATGCCGTGCGCCAGACAGGGTATCAAACAAGTACCATCTTTTAGCGTCTTTTGGTAATGACGCGAACGGGGATCGAAGCCCGGACATTCCGCTCTCCGGGCGGTCGCTCTACCACTTGACCACGGAGGCGGTCGAAGCCATTTTGTAGCAGACCTAAGTAAAAATCATGTGCTGTCCTCGCAGTATCCGATTGGTTGTATGCGACCAACATAAATTTGCCAACCATTCACACGTCAAAATTGAGTTTGAAAAGGCTAAAATGTTGGCCAAAATATTAGTGAGAATAGAAACCGATTCTATTCCTCGCCAACAGTTTCTCGAACTTTACAAATTAGTTTGCAAACTGTTTTCCAAAGTTCACACACACAAATATATACATCGCCAAACTTATTAAGTTTGTCGAGTGAAGCCATTTCTATAACAAAACAATACATTGTTGGACAGGATATTGGAAATAATGATATATGGGTTGTTGTTTTTTTAAAAAACGACCGTTGAACCACCAATGCTGGATACTAACACTCGGTGTCGGGCACCAACTAGAAACAAGCCTGTTCCAGATCCAATATTTCTGACGAAGGCGTAAAACTCCATTCACTCAGACTCAGCTTGCATTCCCAAACATTTACCAATGGTTCTCCCTACTTCTTGACATACGACCTTCTTCGAGGGGTTTGGATTAGATTTCTTGAGTTTCGACCCTTGTACATAAGCGTACTGATCGTCGTTGTTCCCATTCCAACGTCCCACCACGTCGCTAGAGGCGTCCGTGTTGCTGTCGCCGTCTATTGATAGCCACGTCCACGCTCCGCTTATCTGTTCCAGGCCAACCCAATACTGACTGAAACCTGCAGAAATACGAGTGAGTGAGTGGGTGGGTGTTTGGTTGTGGTTGAGTGAGTGAGGGTGGTTGGGTGCGCGCGCTTGAGTGGTTGAGTGAGTGTGTGCGTGAGTATGGATTTACGCCGATATCAGCAATATCTCAGTAATATCTATGAAACGCTGTTTGCATAAATGATGCCAGAAAACTAATTTGGTCTATATTTTACCTGTTGCAGCTGATATTTTATCCTGGGTAGCCTGTGTTTCCACCCAGGCCAGTCTTAATCCCTTGTCTTCGCACAGAGCTCGAGCAGCGGCCCGCTTAACATTGCTGTTTACGCCATAGATACACCTGTCGTCAACCACAGCCTCAACGACACTTTCTGAGAAATACACCCTGCAGCCTTGAGCTTTGATAGTCGTCGTTGGTCCTGATGAGGTAAATAGTGGACGGAACTATGACGTATGAACTATGAACTACGTTTAAGGCCGCACTCAATATTCCAGCTAAATGACGGTGGTCTGTAAATAAACGAATCTAGACCAAACAATCCAGAGATTGACTTCATGAGCATCGATCCACGCAATTTGGATACGATCACATGCATAAACCAAGTCAGCGGGCCTGACCACCCGATCCCGTTAGTCCGCCTTCATCTAGCTGTAATATTGCTGAGTGTGGCCTTAAACAAACACAAAGATATCATTAAAATGATTATGTAAAATGTATCGATAACCTGCTTGTATCGACTACCCCTCTCTGTAATGAGTTCCGGTAGACTTACCTCCTCCATTTGTGCAGGAAGTGTTGGCACGTGCATCAAGATGGGTGCTTAGCACCCACACCGTCTGTGAAATAATTGATATATCATAGGTCTTTGAAAGGCATTTAGAAGTGATACACATGAAGAGAATTTATGGATGGCTACTTCTGTATTATGAGGAACACAACGTTTCGGAGTACATGCTTACTCCTTCATCAGGTGAATGAATACCATGAGGCAGAGAGCATATATAAGTATATATAATTTTGTTGTCTATATTATATATATTCATGTTAGGACAACAAAATAAATAAGATAACAAAATGTGGAAACTGACAAGGGGTGGAAACAAACAAGCGAAGCCAACAGATGACTGGCGCTGATTAGCAATAGACAATGGAAGCCAATACTTTACAGTAATTAGCGCTGATAGTATGGAAGCCAGCACTTAAGTTATCATTGATAGGTAATAGGCAATGGACATTGGGCAAACGGGAGGCCGGGGGTGATAAGCACTGATAGGTGAAAGCTCATGTTCAAATATAGTTATATGTTATACCATACACAAGAGAAGGAAGTATTAGTGATTGAGAACATTTGGTATATTCTTACACAAATCCCACTACTTGTTTAAAGGTAATGTTTGAGTAAGATTTGTGATGTACCGGGAGCAGATTAAAGAAAGGAGGAGTTTTTTTAAGACAATGTTGTTGTTGTCCACTACTGCTCATTGTCTCAACATATTGATAATCCCTCATAGCAGGGGAGTTGACCAGTCCATTCATTAATTAGGTGTGACCAGCATGGCCCAATTAAATAGTGAGCTAATTTTAACTGCTTTTTGGAAGGTCTGCATCTTGGAGGTCAAATGGAAGCCAGCTAGATAATTAGCACCGATGAAGATCAAAGCAATAAGTCCCAAGCATTAGGCAGCTAGGTTCCCTGGTGTTATAGTTTTCAAACATAAATGATTTATGCGCTTAACTCATATACAAGACACGGTAAAATGAGTTGTCTTCATGTAAATTAAACATTATACATTAGAAACGCCTTTTAATGTTAAGTTCACGTTCACTGAAGAGCGGCGTACCACATGACCGCGAAACTGACGTCCATGTGCATTAACAGATGTTGACGTCCAAACGTGTTTCACCTCAAAATATTACAACACATTACTTTTCTCTCGGATTTTAACATGCATACGCTCTCCTACATCGCCAATGCTTCACGGGTGTTGTATATGTCAACGATGGTCATTCCACATGGAATTTGTTGTTAACGGATGTTGGGGACGCAGTGGGCAAGCGGTCAAAAGCGCCAGGTGCTGAAATCGTATCCCGCTAGTGACCGGGTTGTTATTCAGCCTCGGGACCATCAATGTATACATATCTTTACAGTGTTGTCAATACCCCTAGTGTACAGTACATACACCCTGTGCACTCAAAGGAACACACTCGTCCGATGGCAGATGACCTGATGGCGGAAACACGAATACGTACATACACCCGAAACACAAGTGTCAAGACGTGTGGTGTCACCCTGGGCAAGTGACTTAGTTCAAATGTGCCTCTGTTCACCCAGCAGGGAATGGGTACCCGATATGTGAGTCGGATGTAAAAACAACCCTAGCGCCCGTAGGCATCTTGGGTTGTATATTCCCCAGGGAGTTGAGAATGATAAGTGGAATGCAAACGGATTCACTGGTCGGAGAACAAACAAAACCGCATTTGAGCAGATACTTGTACCTGGATATTATATAATAATTATTGCAAGTTTTACGTACCGTGGAAAAAAATGTCCAAGTAAAACTGTTCCATGGGAATAATTCCCAAAGAGAAAAGTAGTCCAAAGGAACAAATTTCATAAAAGGAGCACGCCGAAGACCCGGGTTCGATTCCCGACATGGGTACAATGTGTGAAGCCCATCTCTGGTGTCCCCCGCCATGATATTGCTGGAATATTGCTAAAAGCGGCGCAAAACCACACTCACTCACTCATAAAAGGAGCATATAATCCTACAAAATACACTACGTTATCACATCGCCTGTGAATACATATGACCTGGAAGTGACATATGTATATACATTCTCATCAACTAATAAAATGAGGCCATTTATAACTCATGACACATGGAACCATACTCCGTGCATGAACTTTGCGCGAACCCTGCCGGTTCTACCCCCGGACATTCACTGGTCGTTGGTATCATAATATCACTGCCTTTCAGGATCTATATTTTTGCGATACGGTATGTGGTAATAATCCTAAGGTGATGTATAAGTAAGTTCACGACTAAGTTCAATACTGTAAAGTGGGACGAAACTACCAAATACAACCTCCGACATTTAGTCGTTTGTCCTTTACAATGTGAAGGTACATACCCGAGTTCACAGTCTCAAAATAATGTTAAATAAAGGCTCTTACATTCAGACCTGGTCGGTTCACTTCGTAGAAAGAAAGAGTTGCCAAGCTGCCGAACAGGTCACCAGTTCGGACGCTTCCGGTCGCAGTGAAACAGGTGGACACTGAGACCACTTCAGCACCCCCTGTATCAGATATAGGTCATGAAAGTGTCGTCAGTAAGGCAAAATATTTGTTGTCTGCTTGTTATAATTGCACGCAATTTATTATTAACACTATTTCGTTTCCGAATGTCTTCATAGAATTGAGACTGATGCCAAAAACTCAGACAGATTGTACGCTTGCAGCACTCTGATACCGTTCGGACATATTTGTGTGAAGTGTATTTAAGTGACCCTTCTTAATAAAATACTGCGTCCGCTCTTGTACATCCAGGCAGGAAAATATGTGGCGTTGAAACTTGCGTCTTTAAAGTACGGTTATAAGAAATAGAAGTGTACCTTAGAATTTGATACAGGATAAACGAAAGCATATTGAGTTACTCAACCTGAAGTTGAAAACGCCGTGGCAGAAGCATTGTTCACACAGAGACAGGAGCCGGCGGAGGGAGAGCCTGAAACGCGGCCAGAAAAACACAATGTAATGCTCTATTATCGTTGTGGTTGTTTTAGCAGAGTTATATACAAAGGTTTTGTTCCTTCAGTAGATTTGAATCTCGTTGCATGTAGTTTCTGCAAAAACATGAAACAACACAACCAACTCGCACGCCATTGTGCTAATATATATACATGGATATTCTTTTCTCTATGACGTGACAACTTGCACCAAGCATATGTGGGACCACTCTCACACGCTTTATAGTATATGCCCCAACAGGTGATTGAAGTTGGGGTGAAATGGGGTTTAACGCCGCGTTCAAGATTATTGCACTTATGTAGCGACGCGTATGTGTGTGTGTGTGAGTGAGTGAGTGAGTGAGTGAGTGAGTGAGTGAGTGAGTGAGTGTGTGTGTGTGTGTGTGTGAGTGAGTGAGTGAGTGAGTGAGTGAATGAGTGAGTGAGTGAGTGAGTGCGTGAGTGAGTGAGTGAGTGAGTGAGTGAGTGTGTGTGTGTTGGACGAGTCCGGGTTGCCGATTTAACAGTGATACTTTAACCTGGATACAACACTCACACACGATACACTGACTCCGACCCTGGAGTCTGGATCAGACAACTAGTGATTGACATCATGACCATCGATCCAAGCAATTAGGATACGATGACATGCACCAACCAAGTCATCGAACCTGACCACCCGACCCTCTCAGTCGGCTCTTACGACAACCACAGTCGCCTTTTACTGCAAGCATGGGTTGCTGAAGGCTTAATCTACCCTGGATTTTCACGGGTCCAATGTACGATGTAACATCACCTGTACCAGTTGATGTAACTACAAATGATGTTGCCCCTTCGCATACAAAGTCCCGTGTTGGGTTTCCGTTTGTTTTCTTCAGATTCGCATCTTTCACATAAGCGTTTGAGGCATCATTGTTCCCCTGCCAACGTCCTCCAACATCACTAGAGGCGTCCACGTTGTTGCTCGCATCTGGAGCAACCCAAGTCCACGTTCCGCCTATCTTCTCCAGGCCAATCCAGTACTGCTTCAGCCCTGTAAACAATCCCAGAGACTGAGATACTCAGGAAATACACATGGTCTGGTCGGCTCTACTATTTCCCTTATAGGTTGCTTGAAACGCGAGTGAGTAAATTGTGTTTTAATCTGCAGTTAGTAATATCAGTGCCCGAGTGTAGGCCAGGCAAACGTGTGGCTTGCAACATGAACAACAATGCACGTGCGGTAACACACAATTACCCAGGTCACACATTCCAAGCACCCGATTCTCATTTTGGGGGGCTCTAACTGGTCTGTCACCCAGACCCTAGAGAAAAATGATAAAGGAGTCCAACTCAAGTCGAGAATGATTTGGTAAGGATTGTTCTGGGCTCCGTTTGGATTTTATTATCTGTATTTTGTAGATATGTATTTTGTAAAAAGATAACTATAATTGTGGGACTTATTGTCAGTCTAGGCTCTTACGACACGCATGGGATGTTAGGGAACTACACGGACTCTTCTCCTGGACCAAGATGCCGCTGTCGTCGTATGCTTATTGGCAGTGAAATATGAATTAGAAACAAACAGAACCACCAGCTCACACACCAACACACACACACACACACCAACACACCAACACACACACCAACACACACACACCAACACACACACACCAACACACACACACACACACACACACACACACACACACACACACATCCAGTCTTCACACAGAGAAATCTGTTAATTGCGTCTTTTATTACAAATGTAACCAAAACATGGGCACATTTTCAGATGTGATTCCAGGCTACTCAAGTTAAATAAAATGACATCGTGAACCATACGCTGCCCTTCTTACCCGTAGCCTGATTCACAGAGTCCTGTGTAGCCTGTGTCTGTACCCATGCCAGCTTCAGTCCATTGTTTTCACAGGAAGATCGGGCTTCAGGGTATTTCTTGCCAGCACTGACCCCATAAAAGCACCTGCCATCAACAATTCCACTCTTCACACTTTCAGTGAAGGTTGCTGCACACCCCTGAGATCCTGAAACTGTTGGTTAAATATTCAACTAATGTGTTGATGTCCTTGAAACAGCTTGACCCGTCACCCACGCTCGGCTTGAACCGTCGGCCTTGCATAAATTAATAAACATGCCAACGGGAAGAGGTCAACCGGAAGTACATCCTACCCAACGATTTGAGTAAGAGTGAGTCAGTTGTGTTTAACGCCGCTTTCAACAGTATCCCAGTTATATCACAGCGTGTCAGTTTAATGTGGGAGGAAAGCCCGAAATGATGCAGGTCTTAGGCGTTTACCACTTCGGTGAAACCCTAGATCACGGGTATGGTGCTGACAAACCTAGAGACATAATCGGGGCGAACGGGGATTAAAACCCACAATCATAGGTTTCTGGCGTGCCAAAAAGACGGAACTCTGCACAGCGAATTGCGGCACCTGAGACGACTTGGCCACCCGTGCCCCCCTTTTGAGTAAGAGTTAGTGAGTCAAGTTTTACGTCACTTTGGTCAGTGTTCTTCAGTTGGAAGACAAGACAGAAGTGATGCGGGTCTTAGACGTTTACCACATTTACAGGAACTGAATCAACGTTCGAAACCCTAGCAATGAAAATGTTGTTTGTTTTGGTTTTTTGTTTGATTGTTGTTTAACGCCACGCTCAGCAATATTCCAGCTATATGACGGCGGTCTGTAAAATAATCGAGTCTGGACCAGGCAATCCAGAATCAATATTCTCACCACACTCTGTAGCCGCCCCCTCGCACACTGGGCGATATGACGAACTGTTGTCCCCCCCTTTCCACAGGAATTTGTTCTGGTTCAGCGTTGTCATGGTGAATGCCCGGTCAAAGTTAGTGGCGTCCTGAATCTGTTCCCATCGAGGGTTTGTCATGGCCTCCCCTACTGCTCCTCCCCAGCGCCACGTCCCGGACGTCTTCTCCAGGTGCATCCAGTGCTGCATCCAGTCTACAGAAAAGATAAAAGCATGGAACATCCCAAGTAATTAAAATCATTATATATGCTTGGAATAATATATGCTCAACCGGTGGGGCAGGATACGCTCACCTTTTCGCGAAGACCTGGTATCACCACTAACCGATAGTGGTTCATAAACAGAAGCTTATGATGTAGTCGGAATCGTGCAACGGCCTCTGCTTTTAACAGAGATTCATTTATTTTGTGTTTTTTATTTGAAACCTTGCTTGAACCCACAATCACGAGGGAAACATAGTGTAATGTATTCCTGTGCAAAAACTGCCTCCAAGGCTTCGTCGTCCTTTATGATAATCTATGACCATTCATGACCATTTATGATCCTTAATTATCCCTAATGACCCTCGACGATCCCGCGTCCTCCTGGTACTGAATTGTTTAGTTTGTTGTTTAACGCCGCACTCGGCAATATTCCAGTTATATGACGGCGGTCTGTAAATAATCGAGTCTGGACCAGACAACCCAGTAATTGACACCATGAACATCGATCCACGCAAATTGGATACGATGACATGCATCAACAAAGTCAGCGAAGCCGACCACCCGATCCCGTTAGTCGCCTCTTACGACAAGCATAGTCGCCAGGGGAAGTGATAGCATTTTAATACGTACTGGGGACAAAAAGAAATTAACACTTGAAACTTTCTTTCACGTTCACTGTCACTTTCCTCTTTTATGAAGAATGAATATAGTATATATTGCGCGTTGCACCTTATCTTGTGAAAAGAAAAGTAATTAAAAAAGAAAGAGAGTGATATCGGTTTTAATTCGCCAACTGTTAAAACTGTTACGGATGTTTTTTAGACTGTACATTTAGTTTTCAAGCGCAAAAACTTGTAAAATCAGGAAAACTGGTTAACATATGTTTAACATGTCGAAACGATTTAAAACATCATGGAGAAGCAAAGTTGAAAAGTGCCTGTAAGTTCAATGTAAATAATCGGCGGTCTGTAAATAATCGAGTCTGGACCAGACAATCCAGTGATTGACATCATGAGCATCGGTCCACGCAATTGGGATCGATTACATGCATCAACTAAGTCAGTGAGCCTGACCACTGGATCCCGTTAGTCGCCTCTTACGACAAGAATAGTCGTCTTTTTTACCGCAAGCATGGGTTGCTGAAGACCAATTCTACCCCGGAGTCTTCACGGGTCGGGTACTGAATTGATTCCGCATACACATACTATAGGGTCTGTGTTAGAAAAGGTAGTGTCGATGTGTATCTTACTTGTTGCCTCGAAGACCTTCTTCTGTTTATCAGGATCCTGCAGTTGCACAAGTTTGAGCCCGTTGTTGACGCAGTAGTCCTTGGCATCCCTGAAGGATATGGTATGATCAAGGCCGTAAATGCATGTTCCACCAAACTGTGCCTTTACCTTGGTTTGGGTGTAGGTAGACACGATGTTTGCGGTGCACGTGGGGCTGTCTTATTACGATAATGAAAAGAAAATGAGTTAACCTTAGTTTGTTGTTGGCATAAGTGACAATGTGTGTGAGAGAGCGTATGTGTGTGTGAGAGAGAAAGAGAGAGCGTGTGTGTGTGTGCTTGCGTGTGTGTATGTGTGCTTGCGTGTGTGTGTGTGTATGTGTGCTCGCGTCTGTGTATGTGTGCTTGCGTGTGTGTGTGTGTGTGTGCGTGTGTGTGCGTGCGTGCGTGCGTGCGTGTGTGTGTGTGCGCGCGCGCTTTAACACGGTGGCCGCATTGAACAGTGGTTAAGCCTAATCTGGTAGGAGAGCACAAAGTGTTGCACTCCTACATCTTTGCTATTTTGGTAAAATACACGAACGCGGATAGGCGCCGCAAAAACTAACGATCATTATCAGGGCGATTCTGGGATTCAAGCCCAAAGTCAGCGGATCCCAGGCCGATAGTCACATCTACCAACAAACTCCGAATTCTACAGTGTAGTCTCATGTACTTTGTCATAGAAAAGAAAAAGGACATAAATGTGTCTTACCTCGTACCACGACATCAGAAGGACATTGTAGAGGACATGCCGACGCGTCTCCTAAACTGGCCAATGATGCACCTACGATCGTATTCTGAAATGGGAATTCTTAGTTAGGAGGTTCTTAAATTGAGTAAGATTATACCCTTTTCATAATCTACCAAAATATCTCTCTGCCGAGGTTAGTTAAAAAGGGTTAACTCTAAGACCTGTAATCGCCAGTATTAAATGTTTCATTCAATCTTGGACCCTGAGTGAGTGAGTGAGTGAGTGAGTGAGTGAGTGAGTGAGTTTGATTTAAAGCCACTTTGACCATTATTCCAGTTAAATCACGGCGTGTCAGTGTGATGTGGTAGGAAACCTGAAGCAGGTCTTGACAAACCTAGAAACATAATTCGAGTTTTCGGACCCGTTATCACAAGTTTCTGCGAAGCCTAATATACGGGACGCAATTCTAGATCTTGACTTGCAGTACCTCAGACGACTAGGCCCCGTACATTGTACAACATACAAGTTCTGTCACGAGCAAATCATATGCATTTCTACAATGTCGCCTTTGAGGTTTTGAATCTAGTTTTTTTCTTTTTGAAAAAATCTTCGGTTGTCAAAACAGGACAAACGTACTGCCTAATCCAGCATATGAACGTTTGACGTTCATTTTGATTTAGGTGAAAACAGACTGATCGACGGTTACATGTTTCTCAGACCATAGAACAGGGACAAGATATTTAATTTTAATGTGTTTATAAACGCGTTTGTGTTTGGGTCTCTGTTGATATTAGCTGGCAACTATTATGCGTGTCATTGACAGCGCCCCTTTGTCAAATGACAGGGTTACCTACACTTGGTCTTCAATGGGTCACTTTCTTCACACAAGAAGCGTGTCTACCAATAAGATATAAAAGGTAGACATATCAACTCCAAGTTCGTTGACGCGTGACAACTTTGGAGCAAGTTATTTTCCTCTGCACTGGTTTTAAGCCAGACAGAGATCTCACCTTGCAATGATCCTGTTTCAGGACTAAGGCTTGGCATAATCTGTATTGAACTTGAAAATGCATTCAAACGTTCAACAGCAATACTGTTATGGCAACATAATATCATTGTATAACTTGTGTTATGATTATTTGAATTCCAGCTTGCATGTATACGTTGTCATTATTACTGATGTATACTGGTATATAAGCACATATAGTACCCTGAACACAAATGGATAGGTTTTACAAATATTCCATTATCTGTTTATCGGTAGTCAGGGTTCCCTGGTGCTTGTAGTTTAAACTATGATAGTTAGGACACTATGTAGATATAGCAGAAGCAGGGTATCTTAATTAATAAACAGTGAAATATAATCTGACATCGGAATATGTACGAAGACCACTGGTCAAGGTGTAAACATCAAATTGTCTACTATCGGTCTCTAGTCAAGATGTAAACATCAGATTGTCTACAATCGGTCTCTGCTCAAGATGTAAACATCGGATTATGTACAACAGGCCACTGGTCATGATGTAAACATCAAAATGTCTACAATCGGTCTCTGGTCAAGATGTAAACATCAGATTGTCAACAATCGGTCCCTAGTCAAGATGTAAACATCAGATTGTCTACAATCGGTCCCTAGTCAAGATGTAAACATTAGATTGTCTACAATCGGTCCCTAGTCAAGATGTAAACATCAGATTGTCTACAATCGGTCCCAAGTCAAGATATAATCATTCAATTGTCTACAATCAATCCCTAGTCAAGATGTAAATATCAGATTGTCTATAATCGGTCCCTAGTCAAGATGTAAACATCAGATTGTCAACAATCGCTCTTTAGTCAAGATGTAAACATCAGATTGTCTACAATCGCTCTCTGATCAAGATGTAAACATCAGATTGTCTACAATCGCTCTCTAGTCAAGGAGTAAACATAAAATTGTCTACAATCGGTCCCTAGTCAAGATGTAAACATCAGATTGTCTACAATCGGTCTCTAGTCAAGATGTAAACATCGGATTGTCTACAATCGGTCCCTAGTCAAGATGTAAACATCAGATTGTCTACAATCGGTTCCAAGTCAAGATGTAAGCATCCAATTGTCTACAATCAATCCCTAGTCAAGATGTAAACATCAGATTGTCTATAATCGGCCCCTAGTCAAGATGTAAACATCCGATTGTCTACAATCACTCTCTGGTCAAGATGTAAACATCAGATTGTCTACAATCGGTCTCTAGGCAAGGAGTAAACATAAAATTGTCTACCATCGGTCTCTGGTCAAGATGTAAACATCAGATTCTCAACAATCGATCCCTAGTCAAGATGTAAACATCAGATTGTCAACAATCGCTCTCTAGTCAAGATGTAAACATCAGATTGTCTACAATCGCTCTCTGGTCAAGATGTAAACATCAGATTGTCTACAATCGATCTCTAGTCAAGGAGTAAACATCAAATTGTCTACAATCAGTCCCTAGTCAAGATGTAAACATCAGATTGTCTATAATCGGCCCCTAGTCAAGATGTAAACATCAGATTGTCTACAATCGCTCTCTGGTCAAGATGTAAACATCAGATTGTCTACAATCGGTCTCTAGTCAAGGAGTAAACATAAAATTGTCTACAATCGGTCTCTAGTCAAGATGTAAACATCAGATTGTCTACAATCGCTCTCTAGTCAAGATGTAAACATCAGATTGTCTACAATCGCTCTATAGTCAAGATGTAAACATCAGATTGTCTACAATCGATCTGTAGTCAAGGAGTAAACATCAAATTGTCTACAATCGGTCTCTAGTCAAGATGTAAACATCAGATTGTCTACAATCAGTCCCTAGTCAAGATATAAACATCAGATTGTCTACAATCGGTCCCTAGTCAAGATGTAAACATCAGATTGTCTACAATCGGTCTCTAGTCAAGATGTAAACATCAGATTGTCTACAATCGGTCTCTAGTCAAGATGTAAACATTAGCTTGTCTACAATCGGCCCCTAGTCAAGATGTAAACATCAGATTGTCTACAATCGGTCCCAAGTCAAGATGTAAGCATTCAATTGTCTACAATCGATCCCTAGTCAAGATGTAAACATCAGATTGTCTATAACCGGCCCCTAGTCAAGATGTAAACATCAGATTGTCTACAATCGCTCTCTGGTCAAGATGTAAACATCAGATTGTCAACAATCGGTCCCTAGTCAAGATGTAAACATCAGATTTTCTACAATCGCTCTCTAGATAAGATGTAAACATCAGATTGTCGACAATCGCTCTCTAGTCAAGATGTAAACATCAGATTGTCTACAATCGATCTGTAGTCAAGATGTAAACATCAAATTTTCTACAATCGGTCTCTAGTCAAGATGTAAACATCAAATTGTCTACAATCGGTCTCTAGTCAAGATGTAAACATCAGATTGTCTACAATCGATCTGTAGTCAAGGAGTAAACATCAAATTTTCTACAATCGGTCTCTAGTCAAGATGTAAACATCAAATGGTCTACAATCGGTCTCTAGTCAAGATGTAAACATCAAATTGTCTACAATCGGTCTCTAGTCAAGATGTAAACATCAGATTGTCTACAATCGGTCCCTAGTCAAGATGTAAACATCAGATTGTCTACAATCGGTCTCTAGTCAAGATGTAAACATCAGATTGTCTACAATCGGTCTCTAGTCAAGATGTAAACATCAGATTGTCTACAATCGCTCTCTAGTCAAGATGTAAACATCAGATTGTCTACAATCGCTCTCTAGTCAAGATGTAAACATCAGATTGTCTACAATCGCTCTCTAGTCAAGATGTAAACATCAGATTGTCTACAATCGATCTGTAGTCAAGGAGTAAACATCAAATTGTCTACAATCGCTCTCTAGTCAAGATGTAAACATCAAATGGTCTACAATCGGTCTCTAGTCAAGATGTAAACATCAAATTGTCTACAATCGGTCTCTAGTCAAGATGTAAACATCAGATTGTCTACAATCGGTCCCTAGTCAAGATGTAAACATCAGATTGTCTACAATCGGTCTCTAGTCAAGATGTAAACATCAGATTGTCTACAATCGGTCTCTAGTCAAGATGTAAACATCAAATGGTCTACAATCGGTCTCTAGTCAAGATGTAAACATCAAATTGTCTACAATCGCTCTCTAGTCAAGATGTAAACATCAGATTGTCTACAATCGCTCTGTAGTCAAGATGTAAACATCAGATTGTCTACAATCGCTCTCTAGTCAAGATGTAAACATCAGATTGTCTACAATCGCTCTCTAGTCAAGATGTAAACATCAGATTGTCTACAATCGCTCTCTAGTCAAGATGTAAACATCAAATTGTCTACAATCGCTCTCTAGTCAAGATGTAAACATCAGATTGTCTACAATCGCTCTCTAGTCAAGATGTAAACATCAGATTGTCTACAATTGCTCTCTAGTCAAGATGTAAACATCAAATTGTCTACAATCGGTCTCTAGTCAAGATGTAAACATCAGATTGTCTACAATCGGTCTCTAGTCAAGATGTAAACATCAAATTGTCTACAATCGGTCTCTAGTCAAGATGTAAACATCAAATTGTCTACAATCGGTCCCTAGTCAAGATGTAAACATCAGATTGTCTACAATCGGTCCCTAGTCAAGATGTAAACATCAGATTGTCTACAATCGGCCCCTAGTCAAGATGTAAACATCAGCTTGTCTACAATCGGTCCCTCGTCAAGATGTAAACATCAGATTGTCTACAATCGGTCCCTAGTCAAGATGTAAACATCGGATTGTCTACAATCGGTCTCTAGTCAAGGAGTAAACATAAAATTGTCTACAATCGCTCTCTCGTCAAGATGTAAACATCAAATTGTCTACAATCGGTCCCTAGTCAAGATGTAAACATCAGATTGTCTACAATGGGTCCCAAGTCAAGATGTAAGCATTCAATTGTCTACAATCGATCCCTAGTCAAGATGTAAACATTAGCTTGTCTACAATCGGTCCCTAGTCAAGATGTAAACATCAGATTGTCTACAATCGGTCCCAAGTCAAGATGTAAGCATTCAATTGTCTACAATCGATCCCTAGTCAAGATGTAAACATCAGATTGTCTATAATCTGCCCCTAGTCAAGATGTAAACATCAGATTGTCTACAATCGCTCTCTATTCAAGATGTAAACATCAGATTGTCTACAATCGGTCTCTAGTCAAGGAGTAAACATAAAATTGTCTACAATCGGTCTCTGGTCAAGATGTAAACATCAGATTGTCAACAATCGGTCCCTAGTCAAGATGTAAACATCAGATTGTCTACAATCGCTCTCTAGTCAAGATGTAAACATCAGATTGTCTACAATTGCTCTCTAGTCAAGATGTAAACATCAGATTGTCTACAATCGATCTGTAGTCAAGGAGTAAACATCAGATTGTCTACAACCGGTCCCTAGTCAAGATATAAACATCAGATTGTCTACAATCGGTCCCTAGTCAAGATGTAAACATCAAATTGTCTACAATCGGTCTCTAGTCAAGATGTAAACATCAGATTGTCTACAATCGGTCCCTAGTCACGATATAAACATCAGATTGTCTACAATCGGTCTCTAGTCAAGATGTAAACATCAAATGGTCTACAATCGGTCTCTAGTCAAGATGTAAACATCAGATTGTCTACAATCGGTCTCTAGTCAAGATGTAAACATCAAATTGTCTAAAATCGGTCTCTAGTCAAGATGTAAACATCAGATTGTCTACAATCGGTCACTAGTCAAGATGTAAACATCAGATTGTCTACAATCGGCCTCTAGTCAAGATGTAAACATCAGATTGTCTACAATCGCTCTCTAGTCAAGATGTAAACATCAGATTGTCTACAATCGCTCTCTGGTCAAGATGTAAAAGATGATATCTTGTGGTTATTTTCAGACATTTCAGAAAAAGAAACTGACCCCTCTTTGTTCCCTGGTCATTGAAAATAACCGAAACTTAAACCATTACGTGAACACAGAACACCGATATCAGTGAGTGAGTGAGTATGGTTTTACGCCGCTTCTTGCAATATTCCAGCAATATCACGGCGGGGGACACCAGAAATGGGCTTCACATATTGTACCCATGTCGGGAATGGAACCCGGGTCTTCGGCGTGACGAGCGAACGCTTTAACCACTAGGCTACCCGACCGCCCCAACACCGATATCACTAGTATTAATGTTGAAAGGAACCTGAGAACAAAAGAAATAATCTTAAAAAGGCATTAACGTTTGACTTCATCCCAACTGAACACTAATCCAGTTTAAACTGGTTTGGGCAACCTAAAAATGAAAATTATTCATTGACGACAACGTTCAATTTAATGTTGATTACTGTACTTGCGCAGGATGTATTGATATGAGGTGACCAATTAAAGTAAAAAAAGTTTTTTTCTTCACGGTTTGAAAACGATATAAGAAAGTTCTATAACTATTTTGTCTTCATTTCCATAAGACCGGACTGTACTCTATTTCACGACGATAAATGCAATGATTGGGGCTACACTTAATTAAGAAATATACAACGACCACGAGTCGTTTATATCTTATATGAGATATCAACATTATGTACAGCCTCTTTAAGGATGACGATAAATTGTACAAGCCTTAAAAATATTTACCCCTATTTAAATAATGATGACTCCCTCAATAGAATCCGACCTCGGTAATGTCGGACAAGTCCATTTATGCACAGGTGGGTAATTCCCGTATTTCCCAAAATCCACACGTCGATTACCTGTATCTCTTCTCCCAGTACCGATTGTCATACCTCTACCGCTTTGGAATGCGCTCGTTCGGTCATTGCGTTTATCTGCGTTTCCAAGCCATATATATTGGGAACAACTCACTAGACACTCCCCTCTCGTCAAGTTGCGAGCGCATGTTAGAATCTCCAGAAATGACGCAATGATATAACAATGTTTATCGTAAAATAAACCACGCTTCGTTCTTCATTGTTCTTTGCAATTTATCGCGTACCTATCTTATATAAGGCAATAAAGCGTACTAAATCTAAACAATTAAAAATACATTTTGTAATTATACATTCTTCATATTCAGTTGAGGTGGTTCGGTAGCGCAGTGGTTAAAGCGTTAGCTAGTTCTGCCTAAGACACGGGTTCGATTCTTCACATGGTTACATATGTGAAGAACTCTGTTTATGTCGTGATGTTGATGGAACAATGCTAAATCAGGCGTTGTACCAAACTCACAATCCCTCGCAATCACCATTTCGACCCCATGTAGGTCCCCACTCGCCCGTTTCGGTAACCTGCAAGAAGACCCCCTAACGAAGAATGTTATGTTCGAAAAAACGACAAACCAATCGGACTGCGCGTATGACTCCAAGTACATCGGTCAATTTTTTATTTTACACCTGAATAATTACGCAACTAGTTGACCCTTCTTTTAACGATGCCCGTTTGCGCTTAGACGGAACCCAGTCGCATAAATGGCCACGAGAGGGGCACGAGGCGCTATTCGGCTTATCCCGGAATAACACGAGATGGTAACGAATTCCTTCTTTTCCAAACTGGGCTAAACACCACCTGTTTCTACACTGTACACTGTTTACTTACCCCCGTCGGTAACTTAATGGTAAAGTATGCCTCAGCTTTAGCGATGACTCTGGCACAAATAGGTGATCCTGTGTGGAGAACAAACAAAATACAGTAGACACAAGTCATATTTACCCACCAGAAGAAGAAAAGAAGAAGTTTATTTGCAAGAAATCCTCACGCAATATACAAAGACAAAACCTAAATAAAACACAAGAGGTCATAGAATTATCCAATGATATGTTCTTACATTGCAGAATTTTGCTCATAAGCATAATGCAGGTATGTGATAAATCTTCAGGAATTTGTCATTGTTATTACACGTCACCAACTACACTTTGCACAACGTAGGATGTTTCTGAACAATTTCAGGTAGATGTACTTCTCACAGATCATCATATTACAAAGACGTTCACAAAAAATGGGATTCGTCGTTAATACAGTCCTAGACGAATTCGGCGATTACGCGATCGCAAAAAATATTTGGAGAAACTGTAACTTACCGCAGAATTGCAGAGGAATCGCGGAATTTGTAAATCAGTAAACTAATTTTTATTATTTTCAAGCTATTCTATCGAATTTTGCATTCGAATGATGCCAATACATTTAAGAAACGATCCAAACGTACAAATATGTATCTTGCAATAAAACCAAATTTTAAATGAATAATTCGTAGTTTTTAGATATTCTTGTTCAATGCACAAAAATATATTGTGTTCACATCTAACCATAAATAAACACCAGTGATACAATGCATATTGCATTATTTTATGATTTATACAATGATAACTGTTTATGATGAGAGTTTATGGAATTATTTCGTTTCGGATTTGGACTGAGATTCTATACCATCATCTCATGCTGGACATGTTTACCGTCTAGTTACAAAAACAGGCTTATGCAATATATAGAACTATGTAATATACTGTACAAAGAAGTAAGGGGTCATGAATAGTTTGAGGGATATAGAACATTGAACATAAAATATGTATGATCCCTAATTTTTGTGTTCAGCGCGCGCGCGCACGCACGCACGCACGCACACGCACACGCACACGCACACGCACACACACACACTCACACACACACACACCACCACCACCACCACCACAAATTATATATATATCACACACAACAAAATTAATAATGAGGAGCTTTCATGACCGTTTAAGTGTTGTTGGTCGTGGTACATAACACGGTGAGGCCATGTTACATCAATGTTCTCGGGTGAGTGTAGGGCAAGACAGGGGACCAGACAGAGGACCAGATAGGGGACCAGATAGGGGACCAGATAGGGAGCCAGATAGGGGACCAGATAGGGGACCAGACAGGGGACCAGATAGGGGACCAGATAGGGGACCAGATAGGGAGCCAGATAATTTTGCTTGATTGTTGTTGTTTTTTAATGCGGAATAGTTACATATATAAAATGATAGAATTGATTTTAGTTTAGATATGTATATGTAAACCAAAACAATCATTTTTCGTCAGGATATAAATCAAGATACACTTTCAAACGACACCTATTCTGAATGAAAGTATACAGCAATCGATGCTAAACTATTGTCCAGGTATATTTATATATCACATACTTGATGGTTGATAACAGATGCAGTCTCCAACGTCAATGCTGTGTACCTCCACGATGATGGAGACGAAGAGCAAAGTCCACAGCATCGCTGTTGAGTAGTATATGTAAGAGACAAATCAACCAGTACAATATGGCTCACTGCTGCTGTCGAATCTGAGACTGTTTGGCAAAATGCATTGCTCTACTTATATGGCGGATTATTTCAGTGCAAAGCAGAAGGCATTATTATTTCTTTACATGCCTTTAAGGCGGAGGCGCGCATTTACTATTAACATTTGTATACACCCCTTTCAATGGAATAGTACACCGTGTGACTCCTTCATAAAAGTATGAATAGATTCATCTTTTTATGACTTCTGAATGGAATCATTGAACAGACTTTGTGGCGTTGTCACCTCACATGAACCAGAAAATGTGTAAAAAAATGTACCAAAGTGCGGCAATGCGACAGTTGGAACACAATGTTAAATATTTTGCCTTGACATTGTCCCGTTGTCATCTTTCCGTAAAACACCAGCTTGCACTGGTACGGATTGGTGCCGATTTTACAGTGCTAGCTCACTGAGATAGCATACAGCATGAATGCCCCACCCATGAAAACCCCACTCAGGCACAGTATACTGACTCAGAGCCAACCAGTCCTTGTTTTGGCCCCTTAATGCGAGCGTCAGGCAGGGTAACAACAAGTACCATCTTTTGGTATGAAGCAACCGGTGATCGAACATGGACCTTCCGCTCTCCGGGGGGACGCTCTACCACTAGACCACAAGTATTTCACTTTCTCCGAATAAATATCTTGCCCATAATGATTGTAAGGAGAAGAAGCTTAACAATACTTACTTTTGAATGCAAATTGTGTGAGTGACGGGTGCTACTGGTTGGTGGGATAGCCTAGCCCTTTTCGCGACCACCTGGTGTCATCACTGATTTTCATACTACTTAACCGCTGTTTTGCCTTTTAAGCCCAATGGAATCTATTTCGGTGGAGATAATCGAGACTGGTTATTCTCTGAAGTTGGCGCTTTCTATTTTCTATTAAGGGTACTAATAAATGCAGTTTATCGGTTGAATAGTTAATGTCTATCATGCCGATATCAAATATAATTCAATGCTAACAAATCATTAACTAGCAATGCATCTCTTTTTGTCAATAAAATGTGCACTAATTATAATATTCATAGTATGAACACCATAGGTGCACACGCGCGACGTGAAACTTTGGATCTCCTGTCAAAGTCAGGGTTTTCACTTCTTTCGGAGGCACGCTGTGAGGTTCCTGGGTGTTGGATATTCAAGGTAGACCCGCGTGTTTTTCAAATCATCATGGTATATCTTTTGGAGCTATAACTACATGTTTTATAACAAGTACATCAGGGCCAACACATGCAAGTTTTATGAATAGGGTTGTATTCACAACATACTGGCGTACCATACTCGGGTATTCAATGCCAAATCAACAAAGCAAGCCCATAGCAATATATATACATAACACTGGTAGCACAAAGCATTCTGTGTAACGCCCTTGGTCTGTATGTGATCTATTGTTTGTCCCAGGCACAAGCGCATGACATTGCTAACTTATAAATAACAATATTGTGTGTGTGTGTGTGTGTGTTTGTGTGTGTGTTTGTTTGTTTTTGTTTGTTTTTGTTTGTTTTTTTTTGTGTGTGTGTGTGTGTGTGTGTGTGTGTGTGTGTGTGTGTGTGTGTGTGTGTGTGTGTGTGTGTGTGTGTGTGTGTGTGTGTGTGTGTGTGTGTGTGTGTGTGTGTGTGTGTGTGTGAGGAAATTCAGTCAGTTTATGCCCGTTCTAAGGCAAAGAAGCCATGGTTAAGTTTAGTTACACCAAGGGGGTGCGTTAGATTTAACGCCGCTTTTAACAGTATTCCAGTTATATCACGGTGTGTCAGTTTAAAGTGGGAGGAAAGCCCCAAGTGATGCAGGTCTCAGACGTTTACCACTTCGGTGAAACCCACGAGCACGTGTATTCTGCGGACAAACCTAGAAATATAATCGGGGCGAACCGGGATTCGAACCAACAATCATAAGTTTCTTGCATAAGCAACTCTGCACAGCGAATCGCGGTGCCTTAGACGACGGGGGCACCCGTTCCCCCCACGATGCTACAAAAAATAAGTGTAAATGACAGGTACCTAATATATATATATATATATATATATATATATATATATATATATATATATATATATATATATATATATATATATATATATATATATATATATTTATACATACAAATATACAAACTGAACTAACCTCCTTATTTCTCAGTGAGTACATGCAATACATTTTTTAAATTTGTCAGACAAGAATCATGGACATTAACAAAGTTATCAAGCCATTATAAAGCTAACATTCTAGCTCATACTTATCTCCACCCGTGAAGATCCCGGTTAGACTAGGTCTTCAGCAACCCATGCCTGTCGTAAGATGCGACTAACAGGATCGGGTGGTCAGGCTCGCTGACTTGGTTGATGCATGTCATGATATGCCAGTTGCGTAGATCGATGTCCATAATGTCAATCACTGGATTATCTGATCCGGGCTTGTTCATTTACAGAACGCCGTCATACAGCTGGAATATTGCTGAGTGAGGCGTTAAACAACAAATTAACAAACAAAACAAACAAATAATCGGCCCCTCAGATCTAGCAGCAGGTTCTGCAGGCCCCTCAGATCTAGCAGCAGGTTCCACAGGCCCCTCAGATCAAGCAGCAGGTTCCACAGGCCCCTCAGATCTAGCAGCAGGTTCCGCAGGCCCCTCAGATCTAGCAGCAGGTTCTGCAGGCTCCTCAGATCTAGCAGCTGGTTCCACAGGACCCTCAGATCTAGCAGCAGGTTCCGCAGGCCCCGCAGATCTAGCAGCAGGTTCAGCAGGTAATTCAAATCTAGCAGCAGGTTTCACAGGCTCCTCAGATCTAGCAGCAGGTTCAGCAGGTAACTCAGATCTAGCAGCAGGTTCCGCAGGCCCCTCAGATCCAGCAGTAGGTTCCGCAGGCCCCTCAGATCTAGCAGCAGGTTCCGCAGGCCCCTCAGATCTAGCAACAGGTCCCGCAGGCCCCTCGGGTCTAGCAGCAGGTTCAGCAGGTAACTCAAATCTAGCAGCAGGTTTCACAGGCCCCTCAGATCTAGCAGCAGGTTCAGCAGGTATCTCAGATCTAGCAGCAGATTTAGCAGGCCCCTCAGATATAGCAGCAGGTTCAGCAGGTAACTCAAATCTAGCAGCAGGTTCCACAGGCCCCTCAAATCTAGCAGCAGGTTCCGCAGGCCCCTCAGATCTAGCAGCAGATTTCGCAGGCCCCTCAGATATAGCAGCAGGTTCCACAGGCCCCTCAGATCTAGGAGTAGGTTCTGCAGGCCCCTCAGATCTAGCAGTAGGTTCCGCAGGCCCCTCAGATCTAGCAGCAGGTTCCGCAGGCCCCTCAGATCTAGCAGCAGGTTCCACAGGCCCCTCAGATCTAGCAGCAGGTTCCGCAGGCCCCTCAAATCTAGCAGCAGGTTCCGCAGGCCCCTCAGATCTAGCAGCAGATTTCGCAGGCCCCTCTGATATAGCAGCAGGTTCCACAGGCCCCTCAGATCTAGGATTAGGTTCTGCAGGCCCCTCAGATCTAGCAGTAGGTTCAGCAGGCCCCTCAGATCTAGCAGCAGGTTCCGCAGGCCCCTCAGATCTAGCAGCAGATTCCGCAGGCCCCTCGAATCTAGCAGCAGGTTCCCTAGGGCCCCTTAGATCTAGCTGCTGGTTCAACAGGCCCCTCAGATCTAGCAGCAGGTTCCACAGGCCCCTCAGATCCAGCAGTAGGTTCCGCAGGCCCCTCGGATCTAGCAGCAGATTCTGCAGGCCCCTCGAATATAGCAGCAGGTTCCCCAGGGCCCCTCTGATCTAGCAGCAGGTGCTGCAGGCCCCTCAGATCTAGCAGCTGGCTCAGCAGGCCCCTCAGATCTAGCAGCAGGTTCCACAGGCCCCTCAGATCTAGCAGCAGATTTCGCAGGCCCCTCGAATCTAGCAGCAGGTTCCACAGGCCCCTCAGATCTAGCAGCAGGTTCAGCAGGTATCTCAGATCTAGCAGCAGGTTCCACAGGCCCCTCAGATCTAGCAGCAGGTTCAGCAGGTAACTCAAATCTAGCAGCAGGTTCCACAGGCACCTCAAATCTAGCAGCAGGTTCCGCAGGCCCCTCAGATCTAGCAGCAGATTTCGCAGGCCCCTCAGATATAGCAGCAGGTTCCACAGGCCCCTCAGATCTAGGAGTAGGTTCTGCAGGCCCCTCAGATCTAGCAGTAGGTTCCGCAGGCCCCTCAGATCTAGCAGCAGGTTCCGCAGGCCCCTCAGATCTAGCAGCAGATTTCGCAGGCCCCTCAGATCTAGCAGCAGGTTCCACAGGCCCCTCAGATCCAGCAGTAGGTTCCGCAGGCCCCTCAGATCTAGCAGCAGATTCTGCAGCCCCCTCGAATATAGCAGCAGGTTCCGCAGGCCCCTCAGATCTAGCAGCAGGTTCAGCAGGCCCCTCAGATCTAGCAGCAGGCTCCACAGGCCCCTCAGATCTAGCAGCAGGTTCCGCAGGCCCCTCAGATCTAGCAGCAGGTTCTGCAGGCCCCTCAGATCTAGCAGCAGGTTCCGCAGGCCCCTCAGATCTAGCAGTAGGTTCAGCAGGTAACTCAAATCTAGCAGCAGGTTCCGCAGGCCCCTCAGATCTAGCAGCAGGTTCTGCAGGCCCCTCATATCTAGCAGCAGGTTCAGCAGGCCCCTCAGATCTAGCAGTAGGTTCCGCAGGTAACTCAAATCTAGCAGCAGGTTCCGCAGGCCCCCTCAGATCTAGCAGCAGGTTCAGCAGGCCCCTCAGATCTAGCAGTAGGTTCAGCAGGTAACTCAAATCTAGCAGCAGGTTCCGCAGGCCCCTCAGATCTAGCAGCAGGTTCAGCAGGCCCCTCAGATCTAGCAGTAGGTTCAGCAGGTAACTCAAATCTAGCAGCAGGTTCCACAGGCCCCTCAGATCTAGCAGTAGGTTCCGCAGGCCCCTCAGATCTAGCAGCAGGTTCAGCAGGCCCCTCAGATCTTGCAGTAGGTTCAGCAGGTAACTCAAATCTAGCAGCAGGTTCCGCAGGCCCCTCAGATCTAGCAGCAGGTTCCGCAGGCCCCTCAGATCTAGCAGCAGGTTCAGCAGGCCCCTCAGATCTAGCAGTAGGTTCAGCAGGCCCCTCAGATCTAGCAGCAGGATCCGCAGGCCCCTCAGATCTAGCAGCAGGTTCAGCAGGCCCCTCAGATCTAGCAGCAGGTTCCACAGGCCCCTCAGATCTAGCAGCAGGTTCAGCAGGCCCCTCAGATCTAGCAGCAGGTTCAGCAGGTAACTCAGATCTAGCAGCAGATTTAGCAGGCCCCTCAGATCTAGCAGCAGGTTCCGCAGGCCCCTCAAATCTAGCAGCAGGTTTCACAGGCCCCTCAGATCTACATACAGACTGCGGTCCCTTCTATGCACACAGATCTGTTGCGGTCGGTTTGGCCAAATGGCTCCTCAGATCAAGCAGCAGACTCTGCAGACCCCCCAGATCTAGCAGCAGGTTCAACACAGACCGGGACCCCTTCTATGCTCACAGGTCTGTTGTGGTCGGTTTCCTCAAATGGCTTCAGACGGAATTTACGTATAATTTGGTTGAATGTTGTCATGGTGTGGGCTCTTGTGTGTGGTTATAGGAGGTCATGAGGTGTATCCTCCAATCGGTCGACAGGGATGGTTGCATGCTCGATGTCTCCCTCTGCAACCGACTGCCACAAGCCATCTCCATTCTTCTCAAGGACGATCCAGTGCTGCACAAAACCTATGTTAGACACACACTTAATGACAAAGAATACTAGTAATTGACAACGTAACCCTCGTTAAGCTATTACTTAATCATGAGAGTTTTTACATATTCTTTGACTTCGTAATTGATGATATTGTGCAGACAATTTGTTGCTATCTACGCAGTCGCCACAATAATAAAGATACATAAATATGTATGACCATGTAAATGTAGAATTTGTCAAATCTGAAAAGTTCAATGTCAGTACATCCTGCAAAATGTCATTTTATTCCTGTCAGGAGAGGTATCGAGTTTGGTTAATAAAACAGCCATACTACTTTTCTCTTACACAATCTGACGTATACAGCGGATTACCTGTCGCTTCAAACACTTTTCTCTGTCTTTGGGTTTCCCTTAGCTGGACGGGTCGGAGCCCAGGATCTCACAGAAGGACCGCGCGTCGTTGTAAATTATAGTGTGGTTGAGACCCTGCAATAACCATCAACATTTCCCCGAACAATTTCATGACCAGTGTAATTGTTCATGGTAAGCTCACTGCAGGCAATGCCAGCTGAAAGAGTTTGGTAGGTATAAAGTATTTGATTGATTTAGTAAGCCTGATTAGATGATGACAATATATTTTGCATCTTCAATACTTATTCATATGTAAGTAGTGCATCATTTTTCAAGGATGCGGATGTGAGGGAACTGCGTTTAGCATAGATTAGAACATTATTTTAACCATATCACACAGCCTGTCGGCTCATGGAGGAAAGCCTGAAGAGACCAAGTTCGTCGACGTTGTCGACTTTGGTGATATGCCCCTTGGAATATCAATGTTATAATTGGTCTCCAGCAAGCTATGCCTGTCGTAAGAGGAAATTAAAAGGACTGGATAGTCAAGCTCGGTGATTTGGATGATTGCGTTGCATCGCACGCCGACGGCCTGGATCGTGGCTCATAATATCAATCGCTTGATTGTCTGGTTCAGACTCGTTTATTTACAGGCCGCCGTCATATAGTTTGAATATTGTTGAATGCGGCGTTAAACAATAAACAAAAAAACCAACAGCATTGGTATAATACATCATAACGTGCACGGTGACGTTGCCAAATAAAGGAATAGTATCTGTTATTAAAGGTTGGTTTATATTACATGCGCTTACACCTCTCACATGCCCCAAAATCAGAAGCACCACAAGAAATCCTGTCACAGTCGCCATGCCCAGTAGGCGACTATGCTTGTTGTACGAGGCGAATAACGGGATCGGGTGATCAGACTCGATTATTTAAAGAACGCCGTCATATAGCTGGAATGTTGCTGAGTGCGGCGTTAAAAAAACAACCAACCTACCGACCAACCAAAGCCATGTCCAGTCGTCAGTTACATTTACCAAACTTTATCTACCTGTAATCTGACTTTATCACCCAGGACCTCTACCCCATATATACAACGCAGACGCCAGGTGAAAGTCGTTCAGGGACGACGTGGTGACAGGTGATATACTGTGCAACATCATGACAGCCTCATGACCTTCGACTGGACAGTCGTTCTTGATTACCTCACAAATTGAATGCGCATGGAGTGTTGACAAACCATCGTGTACATACAAGTGACTTAATGTTATTAACAAATACTACTCGAAAGCCAATTTGTTTGAACCATTAAATGTTTATGTGCCAGTGTGATTGATCAACTGAGCACACGTGACATCTGTTTTCATGATGTCCACAAATCCATTAAGTTAGATGACAATTATCAATCAACATATTATCTCCTAATCCTTTGAACATGTATCCTGTCTGCTCTAATAAAACTACATACATAAATAACAGCGATGAAACACTTTCCATATTCATAAGAAATATCTGTTGAAAGCAGAGTTGATTGAATGATTCCGACTATATCATGAACATGCGTTTTGGAATCACTATCAAATAGTGAAGATAAGAAGAGTTCGCGAAAAGGTGAGCCTATCCTGCCCCACAGGTTGCACCAGTCACAAACACAAAGGGGCACGGGTGGCCCAGTCGTCTAAGGCGCCGCGATTCGCCGTGCAGAGTTGCGGCCCTTTGGCATGCCAGAAACCTATGTATTGTGGGTTCGAATCCCAGTTCGCCCCGATTATGTTTCTAGGTTTGTCAGCACCATACCCGTGCTCGTTGGTTTCACCGAAGTGGTAAACGTCTGAGACCTGCATCACTTGGGTCTTTCCTCCCACATTAAGCTGACACGCCGCGATATAACTGGGATATTGTTTCAAGCGGCGTAAAACCCAACTCACTCACAAACACAAAGGAACTAAGGGAGGTCACCCTAATTGACAAGCACTTCATTCTTTTGCTGCTACTTACAATAAACACTGGGGGCACGGGTGGACCAGTCGTCTAAGGCGCCGCGATTTGGCCCTTTGGCACGCCAGAAACCTATGATTGTGGGTTCGAATTCCGGTTCGCCCCGATTATGTGTCTAGGTTTGTCAGCACCATACCCGTGCTCGTGGGTTTCACCGAAGTGGTAAACGTCTGAGACCTGCATCACTTCGGGCTCCCCCCCCCCCCCCCCCCCCCACCACCACCACACACAAAGTTTCAGATTGGTAGCATGTGTGGTATCACATTGCCTTTGTGGTGTACTATAAATGCTGTTGAATTTAGTGTTGTTTTTTAATTTATTATTATTAGTTAAAGCATTCTATTCTTCGACACATTGGTTTCTTGTGACCTTAACCCCCAATAGCGGGCGTATTGAATCGTTTCAAATAAGACCCACTCTTGAGATAATGCACATTTATACTCGTTATATTGGAGATATTGCGCACTGAATCGTTTTTGGATGTCTACATCAAATTACATGTCTTACCTGAGTGAATTACCTTCAAAGTGATCATGACATTTGACACGATAGCTGTTGACTTAGTTTTCATAATTGATTTCTCAAATTCTCTTTGAATTACTCCTATAATCACATGTCATGAACTTTTTTCCATGTTTACTCAATTGACCCCTGGTGATAGAGATCTCTACCTTGATATGAAATTTTATCAAGTTACAATAATATATACAGTACAATATATACTCAAAACTGTCCTGTTCAAGTACGCCTGCATTTTAACGCCAAGTTCCAACTCGGTATATTTACTCCCACTGTCGGCCACTGGTTTACCCAGTCCAGATACGACCATCCATAGGCCGCCATGAAGTAGCTATTTATATTTAATCATACGTGGACCGCTGTTTGATATACGGTGAAGAGCGTTTATCCGAACAGTGCCGTTCCCATTGCTATCGTCTTGATTAACACATTTCCTCATTAAGGAGCTGTGTCACATGGTCTACATGTGATCGTCCGGATGATTGGTTAAACAAAAACAGAATTGCGCATTAAGACCAAGCAGGAGGCTGTTAGAGGTGCAGTCTAAGGTAAGAGACAGGATAAGGATCATGGTGACGAGAATGCATTGCGAGATTTACAGTTGTCTAGGAACTATACACAAGTATTCCCGTTTTGCCTACACTTCTTTCTTTCGGTAGTTCCATTAATTATAAACTACCACGTAAGATAATTCGTCGAAATATAGGATTTCACTTTGTGCACATACATGAATATACCCTTCTCACACAATATATAAATTGCAGACATGTGCACCCGTTGATTGTGCGAGACGCCCAACTTGACCTGATTGTGTGTCACGTGACTATGCAGACCAGTATTGCGTTGTGTCGAAACATATGCCGATGTTAGCGCCTCTCCACGAATCGAGTGCATATTAAATGTATTCCTCTCATTATTGTATCGAAATGACCAATATTAAAAATGAAATTCAAGGAGTCGTAAAAATTACATCTATTATGGTTTAAAAACACTTTTAAGTTTACATCACTATATAAAGTCATTCTTTTAATACATTGACAATGCATGTTTTGCTCATTTCACAAAGCATTTGCAAATACAGCAATCGTTACATGGAATACTGGTTCATGGACAAAGGGAGACAATGCCAGCACGTCGCTTCATGTCGTCAACTATTAAGATTCATGAAAAGATAAAACTGTCCTTAAGAATTACAATACAATTTCAAAAACTTATAGATTGACATAGAAAGAATATTTAACTGATGTTCCAGAAAATGACTACCCTCATTGGTTTAATGTTTATGTGAAAGACGCTGGGATATAGGCATATATTGTATGTAGAAAATAGAAGGGTCATATCTCTCACCGATGTATGTATCTAAATACAATCTTAATATAATTCAGAGGAAAATACAATGTGCAATGGTTATTCAGCTTGTTGATAAAAACTGTATGCATTGGCACATTTCTAGCACAAAAGGAAAATAAGTCTCCCAGTACAGAAATGTGGTAGAACATTTACTAGTATTTGAAGATATACACTTTTCTAAAAGAAATGATTAAAAAATAATAATGAAAACAAAGAGAATTTTGTTTAAGATGTCACTATATTTTACAAAGTATGGTATTTCCGATTATTGACTTAAAGTGCTTGAGCGGACCAGTACATGTAAGCATTTCTTTGTCACCATAAGACAGGAGGGCTTACTTTGTAGTAAAACAGATGTGTTATATGTTTTGATATGATTTCTTTCTCTGGTATTTTTACTACAACGTTTTCTTTTGAAGGATTTGAAAAATATTGATTACTGAATATACTTCATAAAATAAAGTATCACACTTGTCAACACGTAGATGTTTATATTCAAATAAATATGCAAGTGGGTTTGATTTCACAAGCCTTAACTGTTTTGCCTGGCGAGTTGACACCAAGGCCAGATAGAGAGCATTTCAAAATGTGTTTTCATGCCATGTTCTGACACATGAGTTATCTACTGCTTAGTCAAGATTCACACTTAAGAATTGTTTGGTTACATGCCCTATACATTTTCTAAACGTTTGTTTGTGTCTGGTCCTCAGAGTATTCTATGTTGGCCCGATCGCACAGTTTGACCTTCCCTAAGCTGACTTCCTTGCATCCTGTTTTATGGCACACAGCTACTTCTAGACTCAGTTATCAACACAGTGACATTCTAGTGCTCAGTGATTGTTCGTAAATCAAGTACAACCATGGATAACAGTGTAAATATTGCAGCAGTCTTTCTCAGATTACTATCAGACAAAGACAAGCGAAAGAGATTATTAATCAAAAGATATCCCGTCCACTTAACTATCAACTTGACTAGTGTCAAAGAAACTCCCTAAGATGTGTTTATTGTTCACAATATGTCACTGAGGAACGTTAGCGTGTCGTGTTTTAAAGTAACGTTATATTTAGAAATAGTTGGTTATATGAACAACTGTGATTGCAGCAATACAGCTGAAATAGCGTAAAACAACATTAACTCAGTCTAATGCCTTACCCTTGTGGAAGACGTAGGATCGTTCACAATAAAATGCGATGGTCGAGGATGTATGTGTATGGTAGCAATTGTGTCCCTACTAATGAACATGCACGAATAATGAACGTTTTTATATTGTATTACATTCATTATTTGTTATGTACACTACCAGCGGAAAAAAAGTAAGTAAGTTTAAAATAAAGTTCAATAAAAATAATTTTACGCCCATTTTTGCTCCGGTGAGAGCTCCGGTGGTTGTGCAAGGGTCTGCAGGCGTTTTAGCGACGCCTGCGTTACTCAACATCGTCAAATTGGGTTTGGAAGTGTAATACTGTGGAGTGGCATCACAACTCTTGGGAGAACACAACTGGCAATTTGAGGCTACCGAGACGACATCGTTTGAGATCATGTTCTACCCGTTGTGCAACGTCACGTTGCAGTAGGATGATGTCAAGTTGCACGTGTTGTAAAATACTTTTTGAGGCAGCATAACATCGCTGTATTTCCATGGCCGGCTCCCCTATAGCACATGTTTGGGACAGGACCAGAACCAGCCGGTAACACTAGTTCAGTTGGGCCAATCTTTGACTGACATTTAGAACAACATCCCCCAGGCTGTTTTCAATCATCTGGTGTCTTCAATGCGCTGCCACTGCCTCGCAAATGGTGATCACCCGATATTGACCTAATTGTCTCCTATAGCAAGGTTTGGTATTTGTCAATGCAGTTGGTGTGAAAAAAATATTGATCAGACGATTGATCAAGTACTATGTTATTTGTTCAATAAAATTATGTTTAACCCACATTATATGAAGAACAGGGGAGAGCTGGAATTTTATAGAAGATTTATGAAAGTAAATTGTTCCCGGAAAATCTTGAAAAATATAATGATGCATTGGTTGCATAGTCACGTGATACAGATACGTTTTTAAACAATATGTTTACATTTACCCACGTCAAGGTTTTCTTGTTTCTACAGTAAATGTATTTAGGTGTAAATATTAAAACTTACCACTAGAGAATAATCAGTCTCGGTTACCTGCCGAGTGGGAGTCTTAGGCAAACAGTGGTTAAAATTATGTGATTGGGTCACTGAAAATCAGTGATGACGCCAGGTGTTCGCGAAAAGGTTAAGCATGCCATAATTGCTAACTCAATGCGTAACGTTTCACAGTAAACTACGTTTATAACGAACATGCTTATAACGAACTGAACCATATAACGAACTTTTTTTTAGTCCCGGCCATTTGTTGTATATATGCTTATAACGAACTACGGTTATTACGAACTAAAATTAGTTGTCTCTTTGAGATTGTTATAACCGTAGTTTGCTGTAAATGACTAATGCGTGTTCATGTAACACTTAGAGGAGATGCATTCACGTTTGAATTCGACGATGTTCCTATACAGAATACTAACAACATCACACTCTGATAAGTGAACAATACCGTTTATTTTCAATGGAAAAACTGACATTTTAAAGCCAGAAACTCAACACGTCATCACAGTATGGAGCACTGCTACACTAAAAGGGGTCACATAATCACATTACTGCATTTGTTCATTGCGTCAGGACAAGATTCGGCTTGCAAGTGATCGAGTTCAATGCCTACATCATTGCGCCAGCAGCCAAAGACATCACTAAGGTTACCAAAGCAGAGACTTGACCTGCGCCGGACTGCTCTTCGCCTGAAGTTTAAGAAATAGAGTATTGTAAAACATATGCTATCTTCAATGCACGTTAGTTATGAGGTCGCTAGTTTATAGTTCACCGTGGCTAAAGGTCCATGTGTGAGTGTGGTATGGCCGTTGTCCAAGTCTTTACGTATACGTATGTCGTACGTCGTCTAATCATCTTTCCAGTCGGGCGTCCGTTAAATAAAACTTTCGACTGCCTCTCTCACCCGGCTGGGGCAATGCTTTTTGGGGACAATAGATAACATTTCCTTCATTGTGACCACGACCGTTTTGCCCGATGCAATCTCATGCCATTAATTTTACAATAATTCCTAACTGCTTGTTTTTTTTATGAATGTGTCGTTTTAATTTTAGTAGGAATTGAGGTTCAGTTTTTGCCGTTCTCAAAATAGATTGATGAGTCATACTGATCCTAGATTTGTCCAGATGACCGGAAGTAAAGTAATGTCGCATCTCTGTAAAACTACGGTAAAAATTCAATGGATAACGGTTACTTCCTAAATGCGAAAATAAGACCGACGCTTAAGTGGTTACACATGTATGTGATCACTTTACATGTGAATGTGCTTCTGTATGCATGCACAGGTATTGCGATATAATTTTAGTCGGACTGCATTGTAACTTTGTTCATTGGTAAATTTTCAACTAATAACATGTGCACTGGTGTAACAATTTTCGAGTAATTCTGATGTACTTATAGCTTTCGTTGGACTAAACTGACGTCCACAGGAAACGTAACCACTTTAAAAATTGCAAACATTTAAAAACACAGGTTCCAACTAAATCAATGCAAAATACATCGTCCAAACACAACAATGCTCAATGCAGAAAGTGATACACGTCCACGGCACGGGGTTTTGTTTGTTGTTCGTTTGTTGTTTAAAGCTGCACTCAGCAATAGTGGGGTTTTTTTTAAAATGCGAAAAGATGAAGAAGACGTGCCGCTTGGGTAGCCGAAACTACACGTGCAATAAGGGTATATAAATGAATGTACGACATGTCAGACACTTACATTGATAAGAAACTACCACAGAAATGCCACGACTGACACCGCGAGCGGACCCTGGGTATGATACAGATGGGAGCCATCCATGTCCACATTGCTAGAACGTTTGGTTGCTCCCGTGTTGCTGTAACTAACCTGATGCAACGTTACAGACAGAGCGAGCAGATATCAAACAGGCCACAACATGCAGACTCAGAGTAACTACGCCCAGTGAAGACCGGTACTTGCGTATTTTGCATCTCCTGAATCGATTCCTGACAGTAACGTCATCAGCAACGAATGCCTTAGGGCATAAGTGTAGTCGACAGACAGTGACCAAGCGACTCGGAGCTCAAGGAATTAGGGAATACAGACCTTACAGAGGACATTCATTGACAGCGCAAAATCGTCGTCAGAGATGGACATGGACCCTGACTGTTCTTGTTGGCAGCGACGTGACTGGCAGAGGGTCGTCTTCACTGATGGAAGACGGTTCTGTTTACCGCCGAAGGGGAGAATGAATGGCGACATGCTGCGTTCAGAAGGCCGTGTCACATGGTGGAGGGGGTTATGGTGTGGGGAGGAATTTGTGGTTATGTGACAGCTCAGCGTTACATGAGTGACATTCTTCGCCCGATCGTCCTAACATTTCTACAACAGCTGCCTTATCACCATGACGACGTCAGACCCCATACAGCCCGAATCTTACAAAAACTTGCACCCAACAACGTCAACGTGTTGCCGTGACGTGCACGCTCCCCAGACATGTCCCCCAGAGAACACATCTGGGATGTCATGGATCGCCGTCTCCGAGAGTGACCACGTCTCCCAACCACGAACTGGCCTTTCAAGAAAAATGAATACGTAACCCACCTGACGTCATCAGACGACTGACTTAATCTGTGCGCCGGAGATGTTTTACGTGTCTTGTAGCAGGGGTAGGTTGTACACGCTATTAATGTGACGTATCACTGATCTTGAGCGAACTTAGATGTGTGTGTTCTTTGTCCATTACGTTGAAAGACGCCTTTGCTACCCTACCTCAATTCGTCATGCCAATTTAGGATGCTGTATGACTGTTATTTTAAATGATGATTTCGTTGAGATTTTGATCTTTCCAATACAATGTACTTGATGCATCTATCTTTTGTGGTTTTTAAACTAGAGTTATTTATAACTATGATAAAGTTTCTTTTGACAGTCAATTTACATTAATTGTGACATTGAGCACAGGTAAAATAATCAGCAATTGTGTATCAGCTGTGGTAAAATAATTCGTTGTTTCGATCCAGTTTAATATTCTCTCATGTTCAATGCTATACTCACATCCAATGCACTGGGTGGCAACAAGGTTAGTCGAAGCTTTTGTCGAAAGAGTTGCGACACTTTCGTCTGCACATCCTCCAGATGCTGCCGGTGCAAGGCATTTTAGATACGCAGCCAGAGCTCTGAGAAGAAATCACAAATGCGGAAATGATATTTACCACAAGTATTTACATAAAGTACATACTATGTACATTAACTGTTAAATCAATATGATAGTTATGTATAGTTAATGGATAACGTTACCAATAATGTTGTGTAGGTTTTACCTATATAATATATATATACCTATATAATATAAAATGTAGCTATTTTATGTAGCTACAGTGACAGTTTAAAAAAAGACTTACGTGCACTTTCCAGATTTAGATGTTTGGTCGGTTCCCCAAAATGTCTTCTGACATGCACACGCCTCAACGGCGTCCAGGTCTGGAAACCATTTATTGGGATATTTAACTCATGTGATTTGCAGGTTTATGTAGTGTCGTGTATCAGCTTACGTTCTGATAAATTATATGAATTGATGAAGTGCAACAATGTGTATGTAATTTCTTTGAGGTTACAGGAATGAGATTGAGAGATTTCGTTTTTAGGCAGTAGCGCTGTATAGCATTACATGTACATATATGTTATGAAATAGTCAACAAATTCACAATTGCGTTTCATTCATTCTTTTACCGAATACAGTTGGCAAGTGTCTTTTACGCCACCAAATATGGAAGTGCCTTTAGAAGTTGAGTACATTATCATAATTACAGATTTCAAATTGAGATTACTATTGGGGTAATATTGCTACATTAAGTATCTATTATTGGAATGCGTTCTAGTTTACATGAGGTTGTGTACTAATTTCATCAGTTATTTAGCGTATGTTCAGTTTATGCATGATTGGCATTATTACCGCAGTTCGTTGCAATAGCGTCGTGGTCGGCTTTGACAGCTGCAGCCTCTGTCGCAGTTAGTGGACATCCTGCATCTGTGAGGGCTGATGACTCTAAACAAGTCATATAGGCTTTCCAGGCTCTAAATTATATCATCATATATATTAGTATAAGAACTTAGTGGAAGGTTAATTTATATTTATATTCACTTATCGCATAAACCCAAATGTTTCCATTAAAAACTCTCTTTTAACCTTCATAGAGTATTAAACCATATGTATAATAACTCCACAATGTTTCAGTAAATCTGAAACACTTCGTACCTTTTAACCATGAACCATGAACTTAGGATTGGAAATAGCCATAAATTTCACAACATAAAGTTAATGTATCCTAAAAGACATGATTTGAGTGAAAGTCATTAAACATATTCACTGAATAAACACGAAATCTATAACGCAGCATGCTTAATATACTCAGAATTTGTTATGAAAAAACGTATATCCCTAGATATGTCTTGATAAGTTACAATACCAACAGCACTAGACCAACTATCCTTAACTCGTTCTTAACTTTGTTCTTAACTTTAAAAGGTAAACATAGTGGTATCCTTTGATTCTATATGTTTTAGTTTCAGTGAGTGTCAACGGCTACTATTAGTATTTTCTATTTCAAACGACATATTTAGATGGCTATTTCTTATCATATCTAACATGAAGCAGAGGCATACTTACGTGCATTTCTTAGTATCATCATCTTTGTCAGCATCGCTGTAGGTAGTCTTGCATTCTGTGCATGTTGTTGCCTTTGTGTGGCCGATACAAACTGATAAAAGGAGGTCGTATAAATGAGGAAATAATACATTAAGGTCGATCTGTACATGATTGTCATAATCATGCATTTAATCATCATGGCATAAACGTGGCATAAAATAACCCACGCTGGATCACGGTTTCAACAAATCACATAATATCACAAACAAATTTGAAAATGTAAAGTTTATCTGCAATCCAGCATTTATAAACTTGAAGGTTTCATTGGTTTGAGTTATAGTTTAAAGTTATTCTCACTTCGTCTATATCGGCTGAAAGTGGATTAAGAGAACGTAAGTTAAAAATAACTGCTGTATGAAACAACCAAGTGGCCGATAGTTTCACCATCGATCATTCGATGACTCTCCCAACATGACAATCGATCTGTATGTAAAATAATACTCTGCTTTTATGCGCCTCTTATAAAGAAGTTTTACGGTACTATATGTGTATTATCCCCTGGAGTACGTGCATAAATGATACCAATTTTGAACGAGCATATTATGATGACATTTATGATAATTGTTTGTCATAAGTAATTATATTAATTGCCCTTTTCATATAGAAACACTAAACTGGGGTGTAGTGAAATTTTGAATAGAAATATTTTTGAAGGGTTATCCTAAGCTTTTCCAGTTTGCACACCTTGTAATTTACTTCAGCGGTATTTGGTTACTTGTAAACATTACGCCAACGACCTGAACGCTCCCAACACCAGCCCCCTTACCCCTTCGAGTAAGTAGACCATAAGAAGGCCGAAACGGTCACGGGATCAGCTGACTTAAAAAAAAACCTGCCAGTATAACTCTCTAAAACCACGCTGAATTTCGTTAGAATTACGCTATCACAAGAGGATATGTGTGCCAACATAACTCATGATTAGGACAGCTTCATAGAACACAGCATCTTATCAAAATCTCTCTCCTGGCCATCGATGGAACCACACGCAGATAAATCATCCGCTAGAAGTGTAATAATATAACTACGGTAATAACATTCACTCACAGTACCACTTTATCTGTCTTCACCTATCTACCTCTTCTATCTAGAGAGCATTGCTCGATTTGTATATGTCTTCTCACGAAGGGACCAGAAGTAGCCTCGAAACGTTATATATAAAGAATACAGATTTTAAATATTAATCCATGCATATATATTCTTATGTCCCTTTTATGCTGTTGTCTTACGCCACCGTCAGCTGTTTTTCAGCTATATCAAGGCGGCTTGTAATAATCTAGTCTGGGCCTGATATGTCAATGGTTGATATGATGAGGAACGTCCAACGCCATCCGGCAATGAACCAATTCATTCGCCTCCATAGCAAGGATCATCGTGACCTATTATCATGCGGATCCTCTTTTGTATCTGTGGGCTTCAAACATCTAAATATGTATGAGTCGTATTTCCGATGGGAAGAGTACAGATCAGTCAACATTAACAGGGAGAATTACTCTGTATTAATTATAAACACCTGAGTGCAGGACCTGCTTACCCTTTTCGCTAATACCTGGTGTCATCACTCATTTTCAGTGATCCATTCATATAATTTTCACGGCTGCTTTGCCTTTCACGCCCAATGGAATCTGTTTCGTGGGATAATCGAGCCTGGCTATTCTCTGGCGTTGGCGTTTTTTTATTATATTGGATTACCGTCACTTTAAAAGTAGCTCAGTTATTTCAAAGCGTGTTATCTTGGCTTGGAGGAAAACCCAAACCCGAGGCAAGCAAAATAGCTTCTCTGATGAAACCAACGAGCACGGGTATGATGCTGACAAATCGAGAAACATAATCAAGTCGAACCGGGATTCGAACCCACTATCATAGGTTTCTGGCAAGTCATAGACACTACAATTCGCATTACAGACAGGGCCAACCATGCCCATCATTAATGTCCTGACCCTGCCAACAACTAACAACACGTACCGCTTCTAAGATAATCATATCACAACCAAACAAACCATGCGCATGCGAGTTTATACAATGTTATTTAAGCTATGCTAAAAAGAAAATCCCAACTCATACTTACCAACAAAAACAACCAGTAGACGGAACATTTCTCAGCAGTGGAACCAGACTTTGAAGATGTGACTCCGATGAGACAGCCAAATCCCAGCTCTTATATACCTTGCGGTATCCATACCTAAAGTCTTGTCTCGCCAAAACAGCAACTGAGACCATGGAAACACAAGACGTTTTTGTGTAGGTTCTACTGGTATCTTGGCAGTTAGTTTTAGAAAAACAGATCGTTGAAAAGTCTTAAGTCTTAAGACAGATTTGTTGCTTCCCTGTAGGTGCAGATCACTGATGGCAATAGACATAAAAATTCACTTTCCATTGAGATGCACTAAGCACCAGTGATTTTTTTTATTGAACAATGTGTTTTGCGCTTTCAGCAGGTTTCCCGGAGCCACAACACTTAACTTGGATTTATTGTACATACCTTTTTTTAGAGGCTGAAAACTTTTTTAAATCAGTATAGATAACCATTTACAGGTATTTGAGTACTTGAATAGCCAAATATATGGACACACAGCGGGTGTATACATGGTTGCACTTAACTTAAGAATGAATGAAAGGCTTAGCAATGCAGAAATGGAGCAACAAACTGTAGGTAAACTGGCTCACGAGTTTCTTACTTGCTCCTGGCAACTTAACCCTTACACCACCCTTGATTCTCACCATGCCCCTCAACCTGCTCATAGGAGGATATTTTATTGAACTAGGAGCAATGGTTAGGTTTCGTTTAGAACCAGAAGGGACTTGCACACATGCACGCGGGCACATTTGGAACGGAGCCAGTTACAAATATTGTTAAAAGTCACTGAAAGAAACTTTGGCCTTACTCTAAGCTGCGCATCTGTAGGCATTTTAAAACAGCTGAGTACGGAATTTTCACCGACATCAACGTAGCACTTGAGCTTATCTTCGACATGGTAGATGTTCTCACCTACCTTCATCTGTAAACCACAGAGTTTTCTCCTATTGCAACACCCTTAAAACAAGCAGCTTATTGATTGAACATTTTATTATGACACAATGCATGAACTTGTAAAAAATAGCATATCATAATTTACCTCGAAATGCTACAATATGGATATCTAATAGTATGACTATGCAACCCCAATGTTATATAAATAAAAAATATGTACATTTGCAAGAACGAGTTATTCAAACAAATAATATGTTTATGTGTTGTAACATGTTAAAATTTTGATGAATCGAAATGTATCGCCGCAGGGCTCCAGATAATGCTTTGAGACATTAAGTATTAGTAACAAATTAACATTCACTTTGGGTACTGAAAGTATTCTTTGGATTTTTTAATATGTTCGTTTTTGCATCTATGTGAAGAAATACAGGTATGGAAAGGATACACTGAGGTACATTATGAGTCACACTATTGGATATTTGAAAGTTTTTGTATTTGTATTTGTATTTGTATGCAGGTTACTCTAGATTCACTGGGCAATGGTGATTTATTGTTGCGTATAAATACGCAGCTTATCTGGAGCTCTGTATCGTGGCATGTGACAAGTGCACCTGGCGCAATCACAAGCACACCAACGCCATTGTGTTTTCAGTTGGAAGGTTAGACAAATTCAATTTTTTTTAAATACCTCTCTCAGGAAAGAAGTTCAATAATCTGAAGATAAACTAGCAGACATCCAATTAAGAAATAAACGCGTAGCTATATGTACCATATGGGTTGACAACAAATAGGTTATTTGGTCGAGAAAAGCTGATTGATGAAAGCACAGCAGAGGAGAAAACTGTAATGTTGGATATCAATAATCAGCTATTATTGATCGGTTAACAGTAAACAGTAAAATTGAAAGGGTAGTTTTTTTACTTCTTGTCGTGACCTGTCCCACGTTTTTCGTGCATGAATTGTGTATGGTTGTCTCAGAGAAAGACTTGATCGCCTACATGTAATCAGAACATGAGTCGTGTATGTCGGGTCTGTATTTCCATAACTAATATTGTTAAAGCTGGAAGTGCGCTGTACATATGTAAAGAATCGTCGGGTATGGTAAGGGACCAAACATTTAATACTGATGTGGGCATGGGGATTTTGTTTAGAAACTAGCCGTTTTTTTCGACCACAGCTGCAAAACCGGATATGTTTAAAATGAAAAACATGAGCCTGAATATTTTTTGTGGCAGGCAAGTTCTTTTTGCAAAAGTTTGAAGCATAAACATTTTTGTCAAGAATTTGAAAAAATGTAGTCTTTGAGTGCTGACTAAGCGCCAGTACAGTTTATTTTTTATACACTATTGCTTGAAAAGTGAAACTCAAACATGCAAAAATCAACTGAGAGGTATATGTTTCGTTAGCCACTCAGTATCTATTCTATTACTCAGGGACTGCAGCCGTCACATGTTCTTTAAGGTATGTAAACAAATAGAAAAGAAATGGAGATGATATTTTGATGATTTGAGGGTGCTGGGAATAGCACAAAGATTTTAACTATCAAATAAACACCAGTCGTTATTCCTTCATGCCAGGTTCATGTGTGTGGAAACTGGAAAGATTACATGTTCCAATACGACAGCAGTCCCATCACTCAGTTTATTGTGAATAGCTCTAAAGGTATAGACAGACCATAATGAACACTATCCAAGATTTAGGTAACATAGATATCTCGTGGAACTAAATGCTATTATTTGGTAAAGTAAATAAAAGCGACTGAACCCTTACAATATTCATAAGACATTGTACATCGGGATGATACTGGAAATAACTGGGATATTCCCTTGTAAGTCATTTGCAAAACAGGTAGTGTTTTGACAAGTTTAAATCCCCCGTTTCCAGAACCATTTAACATTAAAGGCACCAAATATTTCGACAGAGGCCGGCAAACTGAACTCATTGATCGTGAGCTGTGTAGACTGCTACCGTGCACTTTTTCTCGTGAGGTCCAAATCTATTTTCCCATCCCCAACTTTAAACCGGCTGAGACTGCCCTCTTATATGTAGATCCAGGGTCATTATTCTGTATTATATATGTCGTCAAGCTCAAAAAGAAGGGACTGTCTCATTCTGATCAAAACATTGTTAGCCTTATTATTATCCTGACTACAATTTTGCGACGAGATTTTGATGATCACTATTGCCTTGTCCGTGCATGTATATACGATTACGACATTGACTCGACCATAACATATGTTGTCTAGAGATTTCACTATTACTTCAACAGTGTCAACAGTAATAGATTTAGAAATAATATGCGAGGACCCTGATCTTGATCTGACTTACAACTGACTCGGGTTGATATCTTTAATGTGGACCCAGGTAAAATTAGCAACATGTACATTGTACTTGAGAGTAAGTATTTATCGTTAAATTTTAACGTCAAATGAATTTGCATCTATTCATAATAATCAAAGATGTAAACCTCGTTTGCTATATTTCACAGGCGCTTCAGTGCTGGAACATGTTAAAGTTTTCTTGAATCATAATGAATTTTAATACAGTTTTTAGAAGAAAGTAAACATAGTAACTACACTCTACAAAAAAAAACCGCACAGGTAGATTTTTAGTAAATTTATTGTTCTTTATTAAGTCGATATATCTAATGTAATAACATAGATCAAAATATGAAATTTTGGAGCTCGATAGTCACATGTTGTCGTTGTACAACTGTTCTTTGTTATGTCACATAAGGCCACAAGGTTGCACTGAACTCAGTATCTCGTGTGACCGCCCCTGGCAGCGATCACGGCTCTGCATCTCCTTGGCACTGACAGAATAAGTGTACGAATTCTGTACTGCGGAATTCTGCGCCATTCTGCTTGCACCGCGTTGGCCAGTTGTGGGAGTGTTTGCGGTGTGTTCTGACGTTGGCGTACACGTCGATCGAGTTCATCCCAGAGAAGTTCGACTCGGTTGAGATCTAGAGATCTCGACGACCAAGGCAAGGCGTTGATGTTGGCATTATGAAAGTAGTCTACCGTGACACAAGCTGTGTGCAGTGGAGCGTTGTCCTGTTGAAACAGCTCCCCCTGGCGGTCAATGATTGGAAGAAGGTGAGGTTTAAGAAATTGATTCATGTAGCGATTTGCTGTAGTATATGGCCCCCCTACACCATGACACTACCGCCACCGAATTTGTCGAATTCACGTACACAAAGTGGGACAAAACGCTCATTTCGACGACGATGAACACGTTGTCTTCCATCTCGCCGATGAAGAAGAAATCGTGATTCATCGCTAAACCAGACTCGTCTCCAGTATCTCAAATTCCAAGGCTGTAAAGAATGGCACCAACGCAAGCGTCGCTGTCGATATATCTGTCGCAAAACAGGGACTATAACTGGTCTTCTAGGTCGAATTCCAGCCTCGCGAAGATGGTTCCTGACAGCCTGGTCCGATATCCTCCTAAAACCAGGGATGCGTCCTGCAGTCTCCGTAGCTGTGGCATTGCGATGACGTAGGTGGATTAGTCGAATGTAGCGATCCTGTGCAGAAGTGGTAACTCTTGGTCGGCCGGAACTGTGTGTACCGGCCCCAAAGGCGGCAAATGGTGCTGTGGTGGACGTTGTGGCAACGAAAGAATGCGATTCCCCTCTTTGGACACGTCCTATGACGGTGTTCCGAACGGCAGCGCTGAGTCTCGGCATTTTCGAACTTGAAAAATTTTGACAATTGAATGACAAATTATTGGCTTTTGCTTGCCTTTTTATAGCTTCTACCACGAGTTACGAATGCCATAACTTACACGTGCATTCTGCTTTACTGTTTTCCCCCATGACATTATTTAACAAGTGTGAAAACAATGCCGTTTAAGACATTGCAAATCGACAATGGCTGCGCTTTGACGCACCGGTTGTCGAATATCAGGCCACCAACATTTTCCAATAAAATATATCCAATTTATACACCGGACTTTTTGTGTAGTCAGGTTCAGTGAACTACATACTACTCGTACCTGTGCGTTTCTTTTCTTTTTGAAGAGTGTATATGTTCTTCAATTTTACAATAAGCCGTCCTGCTGACGATTCCAAATTCCGCTGTTTTCATGTTCAACGCTTCTCTGCTCATATCTCAGTCTCAATGCATATGGTGATACAGGGTCGTTGCCGCAGGGCTTATCGGGAAGTACTTTAATTACTGGTCTAATTCACGGTTTG